TAGTTCAGTAGTTGTGGAGTATGACGTTTCAAGACTACAGAATTTTTCCGGTTTTCGTATAAGATGGTTCTAGGATTACGTCAAGAATTAAATGATCCAGTCAGAGAAGTATTAATGGTTGTTGTTAAAGAAGTTTTTTAAGAATTTTCATGAGTGCAGCAGCTCGAACAGGTTTAATTTTACAATTTGAACTTCTACTATTATATAAACATTCGTGTTCTAAATACTCCTGTACAAATTTATACGTGATATCTTCCGTCCATTTTATTATTAAAACTCAATATAAAACGTATAAATATTCAATAAACAGTATCATACAAACTTTATGGCGAGTTTAATTATAAAAGTACAATTGTACGTTTTGACGCGCAAACGTTGCGTCCTGTCAACTTATGCTGAACTAAACTCGCTCGTTTACACGAATGGCGAGTTTTGTTGCGGGTGGCGGGAGACGTTTATCTCGCACTTAACACGCCGAAAAATAGCTCGACCAGCTATCCCGTTCAACTTAATTCATTAATTGCTACTTAACTCGCTTATTGCCGTTCAAACGAGGTACAAACTTAACTCGCCAGGTTCGCAAGTTAACTCGCTACTGTACTTGTCGAAGTGTAAATCGCTCTTAATGACAGTCTAACAAACAGTCTAGCTCAGTGGTTCTTAAACATTTATGTATAAAGGATCATTTAACCGATTTTTTATCTTGCCCCGAACCACTAACTCTTAAATAGAATATAATATTATAGATGATTTTTAAATTTGTTCTAAAATTTTAACCATACAAAAATTTATGTGGAAAAAAGTGTTATTGTGCACCCTCAACACATTGTTTTGTGATACAAATTAGCAGTATTTTTATACTGATCATTATCTCCAGGTATGTTACCTATATACTTTTCTAAATGTGAGAGAATAATGTGATGCCTTCACGAGCCCCTTCGGTTGCCTTTAGGGACCACCAACAGTCCAAGGACCACCAGTTAAGAACAACTGTCTTTATAGACGTGCTTGAGAGGTGGGTTGGCGATCGTAGTACCAGATTTCTCGCTTACACGCTTAGGTGACGAACGAGTACATGTGTCAGAATCATCAGCGCTGTAGGTTACCCTGCAGCATTACGCTGAGTCATAACCTTTTCACTGACTCGATCACTCGTAATATTAATCTGCTAACGTTTAACTGTTTATTATTTTATTTTTGTGATGTTTACAGTTCCAGTGAATAAAGGTCTTTTTTTCTTTCTTTCCTTCTTTTCTTTCTGTCACCAGAGTAATGAATTCTCTTATACCGTCACCACTTTTCGTAGTCGTTAAAGACATGTAATACGAAATATTCTTAAACTAATTCTTATATTGTGTATTATAGTCAATAGTTTTTAAAAATCGATTTTTTAAATAACTCTTTAAATAACATATTAAAATTAATCCGATCAATCCAAATAGCTACCTACCTCACTCGGATGTATATTGCCTCGCGCCCGCACCTTCAGCTACCCTATTATATGTTTGTCTGGCCAGGTGCTGGAACTGTCGAAATTGTCTGGCTACTAAGGAAACATCTTCTAATGGAGGCCACACACGGTTAGTTAAACTGATCATTCCAACTGATCGGTTCAAACTAAAACTGTTGATATTTTTTTAAATATTGAATTTTCGATATATCTATAATTATAAATATATCAATATCGGAGTTTTATATACCTATAAGTTTATTTATCGATATATCAAAAATCCATTATTTTAAAAGATATCAACAGTTTTAGTTTGAACTAATCAGTTGGAATGATCGTTTGAACTGACCGTGTGTGGCGACCATAATAGTTACCTAAGTAACATATATAAAATTCAGCTTTTATACTATATCGTAAGTACAGTTACAATTTGTTTAAGTTTAAGGGTGTCTGGCACGGGGTTGTCACGATGTGTGTCTGGCAACGGATGGACGTGTTTTCTATTATTATTCCGAGGAAAATATGTGAAAATTACGCTTTATACTTTGACAAATTTAAGTTGCTATTTTATACGCCTTTGTTACCTGTTATCTGCCAGAGCCACGATAATCCAAACTTCATAGTAGTCCATCGTCCACCTATGTTGGGAACAAATAAGGAAGTTCTGGCATTCACAGGATTTGCTTTATTTTTTTAATATTTATAATTGTTTTTCTTACCGTTAATGATCGTTTTAGTTCATTGAATCGTACAATTATTATATTAGAGACAATTTTGTAATCTTTTAAGCAATTTGGTCTGTATTTATACCGTATTCATTTTTATGCCGTACCTATCACAGCTTTCACATGGTACCTACATGTTCTAATTTACCATATATTTCACGAAAAGTATGCACGTGTACCTACAATTCAATTTAACTTTACATTTTGATGTAGTATACAACAACAACTTGTTAAGGGTTAGTTCGTTAAACTCGCTAGTTTGCTGAGAAGAGGGCACTAAAAACATTAGACAAATCGAGGTCGGGTAGCTGATGCAGCATCATTATTGCGGGTGCCATTAGAAACTAGGTCGAGATCTCAACTGGTGCATAGGGCTTGTCTCCTTATCCATGCACCGTATTCAAGTCTTCGAAGTATTTCATATATTTTATGCGATTGTTGTAGTAGTTAAAATTAAAACAAGTATTTCTTTGTGAGGCATGGACATATAATTAAAAGCTATTAATAACGGCGTATGTATACAATTCGTACTTTCATAGTTTTATTTTTTTAGTTATTTTTTTTTTTTTTGGTGCATAGAACTAGAAAACATCGCTATCGTAATGAAATTGTTACGGAACATCTAATAATTCCTCTCCCGCTACCTGTAGTACGTAGTATCACAGAATAAATAAAAGTACTACGTAGTATACCTACTATTATTTATTCTGTGCCTGTAAGTATATTCCGTCACCGTCACTGTCTTTCGTCACAATTGCGGGAAGTCAATGTTTGTAAACTATTCATACATTTTTTCATTGATAAAATGTATGAATAGTTTATGAATGACGAATAAAACTATTCTTCATTCATTTTTTTCATTGATTACATGGTAGTTTATTTTAGTGATGCGAATACTACGCATTGAATGCAACAAATTTATAGCATGAATTTTAGGGTTCCGTACTTCGAAAGAAATAAAAACGGAACCCATGTAGGATAAATCTGCTGTCCGTCCGTCAGGCTGTTCGTCTGTAAAGGCCGTTTTTCTCTGGCACAGATAGAAGTATCAAGTATCATATACTTAAGTCTACGGTCCCCCTAGGCTAGGCAATCTTTATACTACAATTTATAAGTCGGTCGCGCTCCGTATTCATGTGTATTAATAGAGAATGAAGTAAAGATAAAATAAATATATAAATACTTTTAAACTTGCTTATCCAAACCTATATTCTGTTTAAACCACCCTAAGGATTATTCTTCGAAACGTGTCTTAAGGGGCTAATTAACGGAATTTAATTCTGATTATTATTCCGATTTCTACGCGAATCCCCGGATGATCTGCCCGGATCCCCGCTGGCACCAATGAAATTGTTAATTGCAATTTTAAGAACTGATTTACCACGTGCTCGGCGGTGAAGTAAAACATCGTGAGGAAACCTGCATGTCTGAGGAATAAGAAAAAGAAATATTTCGAAGACATGTGAAGTTCGCCAACACGCATTGGGGGCAGCGCGGCGAACACTTCCCTGCCCTAAAACCCTCTCAGAAATGAGGGAAGGCCTGTGCCCAGCAGTGGGACGTATATAGGCTGTAATTTTACTTTTTTATTCCGATTTGTTACCCTATTACAGTAAGAACGTTATTAATAAATTATTAATCTAGACATAAAAACACGCCTTTTAGATATTGAAATTAAATTAAAACTTTATAATAATATGTATTATAAATTGTAATTTATAAATGTTCAACATTAATTTCATTGTTAAACTTAATACTAGACAAACCAACGAGGCTACGATTTCCATTTGGCATGATCCTGACACAAATCTCTCGTTTCTTTCACATCCGTATCATCTACTAACACATGCTAGCCGTAATTGGGTATCAAGGATTAATTCGTCGCTGCAATTGTCCATTTATAATCGTTTATTTATTTTTTCTACTTTAAAAAAATTTTGACTTTTTTTATGATTTATATGATATGATTTGTAGTCCTGTGACGCTCTGCGAATGAATTCCAAATAGCCACAGAATCTTTGTTCATAAGCCTAATTTTGTCAAAGTATTTTATAAATGCCCATATAATATTATTATCATCAATCAAAAAACATTCAATCCTATGTTTGTACAATATTAGACAAGTTGTGTCAGAGAAAAATAAAAAAAATTAGTCCAAAGCCTGTTTAATAGTTATTTTTGAGGGTGGCAAGAGAAAATAATATATGAGGAAGTTCAAGATAGTACAGCCAGTTATGGTAGAGATAGAAATGAGGATATACGCAATAGAACTACATTAACCGACATAGCCCAATGAATAAGTGAGCTGAAGTGGCGATTGGTCACCGAATTGGCCATTGGATGTGGAGTAAAGTTTCTCGAGTGACAGTTTCATTCCGATACGCGAAGTGTAGAAGCCCCGCGCTAGATAGAGTGACGACCTGGTAGGAGATGCAGGAAGTCGTTCAAGTTCTTTGCAGTATCCAAAGTTCTTTACAAAATCCAATGATTCGATAGAAACTAAATTTCATTCTAAATCTTACGTTTAACAAAAAAACTTAACTATAATTTTCTGTAAAAAGACCATAAAGGATAAAGGTTCTTAAGGCAATTTCCCTGTATGTCCCCCCTACGGTTTTGGATTTCCTATAGTGTTTAAAAATATCAATATTATATTTTGAAACAGCATAAATATTCCATTTAATAATAAACTCTTTGTTTACCACATTTAAATAATATCTGAATTCGTTGTATATAAGTATATAAATGTATAAAAATAAGGCAACTTACAATAAAATGAGTAGAATAGTCGAGAGCTTTTTTACTAATATAAAATATTGTTGCAGGAGCAGTGCACTGCGAGGATGAAACGATAGGCCCGATTTTCATGAAGGAACCCCCGAACCGAGTAGACTTTAGCAATACGACCGGAGCAGTAGTGGAATGCGCCGCCCGAGGATCCCCCGCCCCCGACGTTATTTGGGTACGAGCTGATGGAACTGCTGTTGGAGATGTGCCCGGACTGCGACAGGTTAGTTTGTTTTTATTAATTACTAAGTGTTACCCGCGACGTCGCGTCGCCCGCGTGCAATTTGTTACGATTGGATTTCATTTTTTTTTGTGCTGAAATTATTATTTTTTTAAATAATTATAGCCTAAGCTATCTGCCAATGAAAGTCCCGACAAAATCAGTCCAGCCGATTCGGATAATAGCCAGAACAAAAAAAAAACAGACAGGCAGACAAAAATTACAATAACGGTTGTTTTTTTGTTATAAGTACCGTATATATACTTTCATTTCTGCTGCCTCGTTGGTCTAGTGGTTGTAGTAGTGCGACTGCTGATCATGAGGTCCTGGGTTAGAATCCCGGGTCGGGCCAAAAAAATCAATTATTGAGTTTTTCTGTCAAGAAATTCTTAGTAGCTGCCCGGAGTAAGGAAGTTAAGTTGGCGGTATCTCACTCCCGTGCCTCGGAAAGTACGTAAAGCCGTTGGTCCAGCGCTTGATCTCTCTCCGGTCGTGTCGGTGTACCGTCCCATCGGATTATGAGAGTGAGAGAATAGAGAGTGCACCTGTGCTTGCGCATACACTTGGGCACTATAATCCTGTCCTGCGCCGATGGCTAGCCTCCGTTGAGGCAGGCCGCCGTGGCCGGAATTCGGTCTGGAGGACATTATTATTATACTTTTATATATACATTTAGTAAAAAGCTGTTATTTTGAAAAGATGATTTTCTTAAAGCTGCCTCTGCGAAATGTTCTCTCTGCGAAATGGGGCGCTAATATCATCATCGTCATACCAATCACTGATTATTCATAAAGCCTAAGCAACCATTTATCTAAAAAAATCACAACACTGAGTATTTCCTTTAAATTTAAAACACCGCTAGATGTGATTAGATTAAATTTATTTCTAGATTAGTCTTACGCCTCTACAACAATCCAATTTAATTATTATCGGCTCCGATGATATTTTCTAAATAAATGTATTAATATACTTTCATTATGCAGGTTCTGCCCAGCGGAAATCTGGTTTTCCCACCTTTCCGTGCTGAAGATTACCGTCAGGAGGTTCACGCTCAGGTGTATGCCTGTTTAGCCAGGAATCCAGTTGGTACGATTCATTCCCGTGACGTTAACGTGAGAGCTGGTAAGTTTTGGTGAAATGAATATAAATATGTTAAAGTTATAGATACAACCTATATACGTCCCACTGCTGGGCACAGGCCTCCTCTCAATTTTAAGAGAGTTTTTGGGGCAAGGAAACGTCCGCCGCGCTACCCCAACGCGTGCAGGCGAATTTCACGAATATGTTTGTTCCTATTTCTCAGACATGCAGGTTACCTCACGATGTTTTCTTACACCGCCGAGCAAGTAGTAAATCAGTACTTAAAATTTTGTTGGTGCCGGTGGGAATCGAACCCGGGTTGCTCGCGTACTGTGAAATTTACAGCGAACGCTTAGTCCCTTAACTATCACGGCTTGATTATAAATATGATTCTTATTAAATTATTACTATTATATAATAAAATTAAAAATTATATTATTAATAATATTTTAGACATATTAACATCATACAAAGGGTGAACGCAGTAAAACGTTAGCGTTGACTGCATTCCTATTAAATTTTACAGCAGATTTAGGGCAGAATAAGATTTGGGTATGTTTATTATATTACTTACAGTTGTAATTGGGATTGTAATGGACTTTATAGTGCCGTAAACATGCCATTATAAATATTGTTGGTTTATTGCGTAAATATTGCAGGTGTAGTTGGTTATAATCATAACTTTATATTATTATATCAATTATTATCGTAATTTAGTTTTAGAAAAATATTTTTAATCCTTAGAGAAGTATACGAATAAAGTAATTATCAATGTAAGTGATGTAAGTACTTATATCAGTTTTTATTATGGCGTTAACCAGGTATTTACACGTACACTGTTTATATTTTTTGCTTTTATGCGTTTTTTAATGATTATTTACAGGATGGAACTAACAAAGCCTAACTTGTAAGTAATTGATTGAAAAACTAATTCAGAGTTATTGTCCAAAATATAATATTCATAAATGAATTAATTTACTATCTTAAATCATATTAGTCTATGTTCATTACAAGTTCTTTATTATTTTTTTATGTCTCAAAAAATTTATTTATACTCAGGTTACTCTTATAAAAGACAATCTCTAGAATCTCTGTTGGCTAAACAATACTATTTATTGAATACTACGCTGTTATTTTAAAGACTAAACTTAGTCAAAAATTTACTTTCTCAAAATGAAGTAGCACTGGAAATTAACAACCACACTTTCTACATTAAAATTTTTGAATGGTTAAAATATAATATATTAATTAATTTATAATTTATAGATATGGTAACAAAGGGCGTACGTAATGCCTATAGGCATTCTGTGCCAGTCAACTCGTGTAGTGATTAGATTTTGATGTGACAGGTGCAATTACATACATAGTATGATATAAATATAATATAATCTAATCTAATGTATAAAAAATATGTTTGACATGTTATATTCTACATATCATTAAAATAGGTAGATACTCGTTTAATATATACTTTACTTATTATAATAAAATACAGTACCCGGTTGACGAAGCTTTGCTCGGTATTTTTAGCTCGGTTTTTTTTTATTCGTGTGTTATGGAAATTTTATTTAGATACAAATTACATGCTGATGAAATACGAATAATATTTTTTGATCTTAGCGACATAATAGAAAAAACTAAACTGGTTATTTGAATAAAAAATCATGAGTGCAATTAGTTTAATTTAAATTTTCGTATTTTTAAAAAATACTAAAAAAGGTCTCGAAAAATAGATTTTCTCAAAAAAGAAAGAAACTTGAAAAAAAAATTAAAAAAAGTCGGTCGGTCGGTCGATCTGGGCTCGAACCAAGGTATTACGATTTTGTGACCGCCCAATACACCAATTAAGCTATTTGTAATCATTAATGAACTGTCAAAATTTATCTTCTTATTCTAACAACGGTATTGTAGTAGTTTTTACTTACTACTTCTTATCTTCACGCACAATCCCTAACGGGGTAGCCAGAGAGAACAGATCGCCAAGTGTTCACGATCCATACATACCTCTTTCGCTTCTTTCAGGTTCATTAACTTCTTCATACATGCACGTCTAGGTATCCGAGTACTCTTGACCTTCCCCTCTTCGAGCAATTTGCTCACATGGTCTTCGAAAGTTAGTCTCGGTCTACCTCGACACCTTTTAATATTTACTTTCGCTCTATATATTTTCTTCACCATTCGGTCTTCACTCATTCGCTCAACGTGCCCAAACCATTGGAGTACGCCCCTATCAATTTTTGTGATAAGGTCATCTTTCAATCCTGCCATATTGCGAATCTCTTCGTTTCGCTTTCGATCGGCTATGGTAACGCCACACATTTTACGAAGAGATCGCATCTCCACTGCATTCAACTTGCTTTTATGCTTCTTCTGGCATACCCACGTTTCGCTGCCATATAACAAAGTCGGTACCAACACTGCGTTATATTGCAAGGCGTGCACTCTTCACCACGCCTTGCCTTTTGATTAATGCATTCAGGGCACCATTGACTTTGTTTCCGGCAGCGACGCGCTATCCACATCTAAATCACATTTTTCCATCCCGGCTGAAAGCACTCCCCAAGTATACAATTTCATTTACCTGTCCTAGACGTTCCTGATTTACCCATATTTCACATTTCGTTCTCTCTTCGTCCTTTTCAAATACCAGAACCTTAGTTTTATTAGCATTCAAACGGAGACAGTTTTTCATTGCCTACAAACACGGACAAAAAGACATTTTCTAAAAATATATCCTAGCTAGATCGATTTGTTGCCCCCGAAACTCCCTGCACACAAAATTTTATAAAAATCGTTGGAGCCGTTTTCGAGGGATTCCGATAAAAAAATTGCTTTTTTAGTGGTATATTTTAATAATCAAAAATTAAAAACTCTGACGTAATGTGACTTCGTGTAGCGACCTATGACCTGCGTTTCGTTAGTTATTTGATATGGTTATGTGCTGCATACTGCATGCTGCATACTGCATAGTTGAACTTAGAATAATGGAAGCTCTTGTTATTACTTTTTTTATTGCTATAAAAACTTTTCAAAAAAACCAAGCAATTAAATATTAAACGAAAAAAAATATACTAAATAATATGTAAGTTTTATTATAAATAAATTAGTATTTTGTATCTAACTATATTTTTTTCTCTCTGTTTATAGGAGAGTTAACGTACGGATATTAATTTATATGTAATAAGAAACCTTTTTACATTTCGGGTATTGAGGATTTGTTTCTTCACAGTTTATTGCAATCATTGTATGTATAATCATAAGTCACCATACTCAGATAGTCTTTCTTTTTAAGTATGAATGAGCCGCCACGTCGTAGGGTGCTGCCCTTTATAACTGGGAGCAAAAGGTCAATTTAATATTATTAGGCGCAGCTGCACTTTTAATCAAGTTGTCACTTTTTAAAACAATCCCTAGTTTTTATTAGGTATATCTTAGTTTCTAAATTATTTTATATCATCAAATAACCGCGCTCTTACAATATCATGTCAAAATATGTGTAAATGTTAAAGATTAAATCAGCAATCTATAATCATTCATCATCATCATCATTACAGCCCTTCACAAGTCCACTGCTGAACATAGGCCTCCCCCAAGTAATGCCACAAAGCACGGTCCTGAGCCACCTGCATCCATCGACTTCCTGCATGTCTTACCAGGTCGTCACTCCATCTAGTGGGGGTCGCCCTACACTACGCCTACCGGTACGAGGCTGCCACTCGAGAACCTTTCTTCCCCATCGGTTATCGGTTCTTCGAGCTATATGGCCGGCCCATTGCCACTTCAGCTTACTAATTCGTTGGGCTATGTCGATCACTCTGGTTTTACTGCGGATATCCTCCTTTCTGAGTCTATCACGCAGAGAAACTCCAAGCATAGCCCTCTCCATAGCTCGCTGAGCGACCTTAAGCGTTCTCATACGGCCAGCAGTGAAGGACCACGTCTCAGATCCGTAAGTCATCACTGGCAACACGCACTGGTTGTACAATCTAGTTTTTAGAGATTGAGGTATACCTGACGAAAAGATATGTCGTAATTTCCCGAACGCTGCCCAGCCGAGTTGAATCCGTCGATTGACCTCTCGGTCGAAGTTGGACTTACCTAGTCGGACTATTTGTCCCAGGTAAACGTACTCGTCAACAACTTCGAGCATAGTGCTCCCAACCACTACCGGCATAGGTGTGACATGGACATTAAACATGATCTTTGTTTTGTCCATGTTCATCTTAAGACCTATCCGTTGGGAGGCACTATTGAGGTCATTGAGCATAATGCTTAAGTCCTCCAGCGATTCTGCCATAATGACTATATAGTCGGCAAATCGAAGGTGAGTGATGTACTCGCCATTGATGTTAATACCGTATCCTTTCCAGTCCAGTAGCTTGAAAACGTCTTCCAACGCAGCGGTGAAGAGTTTCGGGGATATAACATCACCCTGTCTTACACCTCTCTGCAGTTGGATAGGTTTCGAACTCTGGTTCTGTACTCGGATAGCCATCGTAGCCCTACTGTACAAACACTTCAGCACTTCGATGTACCGACAGTCAACTTGGCACCGCTGAAGGGACTGTATCACCGCCCAAATTTCGACGGAATCAAAGGCTTTCTCATAGTCCACATATGCCAGGCAAAGTGGCAGATTGTACTCTTCGGTCTTCTGTACAATCTGCCGCAGGGTATGTATGTGGTCTATGGTACTGAAGCCTTTTCGGAAACCGGCTTGTTCGGGAGGCTGGAAGTCGTCGAGTCTGCGTGCGAGACGATTCGTAATGACTCTCGAAAATAGCATGTAGACGCGGCTCAGAAGGGAAATCGGTCTGTAGTTCTTCAAGAGAGCGTTGTCGCCTTTCTTAAAGAACAAAACCACCGCACTTCTGCTCCACGCCTCCGGAGTAGTGCCACCATGGAGGACGGAATTGAAGAGCTTCCGAAGGACTTCAAGTACCGGTTTTCCACCCGCTTTCAGAAGCTCCGCTGTAATTCCATCCTCGCCCGGGGACTTGCCGTTTTTAAGGTGGTGGAGAGCCATTCTAATCTCGCTCAGACTGACGTCCGGGATATCATCGGAATAGTGTCGGATAAGACTTGCTCTTGGATCGTTACTCACACTTACGTGTGGCTCCAACGATGATGTGTACAGCTGCCCATAGAACCTCTCAATCTCACTCAAAATCTCAGGTGTCCCGGAAACGATGTTGCCACACTCAGTCTTCAGCTTTGACAGTTGGCTCTTTCTGGCAGACAGATCTCTGGCAAAGACTTTGGAGCCCTGGTTCCGCTCGATCGCTTCTTTAATACGAGAAGTATTAAAGTTGCGTAAGTCTCGCCGCATGCATTTGGAGATCTGTCTGTTCAGTTGCCTGTATGCTGTCAAATCTGTTGACGATTGCAGCCTCATCTCCCGTCTAACAGCCATGAGATTAAGAGTGTGATCGGAGAGTTTTTGTGTTCTTCTGCGGCGGGTCTTGCAGAACTTAGCTCCGACCGCATGGACAGTTTCCACGAGCTTGTCGTTCATATCGTCCACTGCATTGCAATCTTCTAGGCACTGGAAGCGGTTACGTAACTCGAGCTGAAAGGTTTCGGGATTCTGGATTAGAGCACGAGGGGGACGGAGCGTTGACTTCATTAGACGAGACCTCTCCAACTTAACGTTTAGGTTCAGTGTGCCTCTAACCATTCGGTGATCGCTGCCAGTTTTCACCCTTGCGATCACTGAGACATCACTGAACAGTTGGCGTCTGGTCGTCATAATGAAGTCAATCTCATTTTTTGTCGAACCGTCGGGGCTCGACCAGGTCTACTTCCTGTGGGGCCGCTTCTGGAAGAAAGAGTTCATCATAAAGAGTCCCTCTTTCTCCATAAAGTCGGCCAGCTGCTGACCCCTTCGGTTCCGTTGCCCTACTCCAAATTTCCCTACCTTCAGCTCACCGCTTTCTCTTGTGCCTAGTTTTGCGTTGAAGTCTCCCATCAACACCGTGTAGTGGGTTTTGGAGGAATGTATGGCTCTGGAAATATCCTCATACATTTCCTCCACCTCCTCATCGGGATGTGCCGAGGTTGGTGCGTAAACCTGAATGACCTTCAGCGAATACCGTTTGGTGATTCTGAGTATCAGGTACGCGACCCTCGTCGACACACTCCCAATCTTTACAACGTTGTTGACGAGAGACTTGTGGACGATAAATCCGACACCTCCTTGGGACAGATGGTCGCCCTCCCGGTGATAGAACAAGTTGCCGGACTCGAGGATTGCCGTGTCCTCCCCCTCTCTTCGGACCTCGGATAATCCAATAATATGCCAGCGCAACTTGTCTACCTCTTCTTCCAGCTCTAGTATCTTCTCGTCAGTCCTCAGGGTGCGTGCGTTATATGTTGCCAGGTCGAGTCGTCGTAGGTGGCAACCGAACCTCCACCGGAGATTCTTAGCACCCCCTGCCCCGCCGTTACCATGGTCGCCACCGTAGCCAGGAATAGCGGGGCCGCCGGGGACTGGGGGCCGTTTGTTTGTGTATTTATTCATTGGGGGGTATTTGCCATAGTTGCCACGCTTGGCGAGCGGGTTGGCAACCGCAGTTTTTTATTACGTCACAGTTGTTATCAGGAAGATGCTGCTGCCCATCTCCTGCCTGTGTCCCTCTGTCGCCTTTTACGACACCCACGGGAAGATATGGGGTAGTGGATATTCTCAACCGCCACTACACGGCTAAGCAATCTATAAACGAAGAATTAATTATATAATAGTTTATATTTTTATACACGAACATAAAAAAGAACATAAGAAAGAATTGCCGTATAGCGGTGGTGTTAGATAAACCATTACCTCTTTTTGTCATCCAAAATAATAAACTTCTTCGATTACCATCCCGCTTGCAAAGCGTCGCAGCCATGACAAATATCCCTCTTAGGTGAGGATTTTGATAGGCTATAATGGAATGGAAGTATTGTTTTTAAATAAATATTATGAACGCCGATATTGTATTATGGTTAATCACTCTGAATTATTTTTTTCACTATCAAAATCAACTCGTGTGGTCTCAATAATTAGAATTATAGACTTCGAACTTTAGAGTATTTTTGTTTTCTTTGGAAATAAAAGAAAACAACATTTTACAATATTTGTAATAATATTTTACATGTATTTTTGCTGTTTATTTTTATTTTACTAGCTTGCGGGTCAACAGTAGATTTATAATACTTTGTAGCATTTAAGTTATTATGAACTTGGTAATTAGCTTGACGGTCAGAATAACTACTGCCATGTCGTCGGTCCTGGCTGGATCAGAATGCAGCCGGATTATAATATGTTCTAGTATGCACATTGGTTGTTTTCGGGTCTCCGTTGTTAGCGTACGTGAGGGTAATATGGTCTTGTTTGCATAGTTGGTTCTTTGATACGACAGATCTTCTCAGTTAGGGCCTACGCTCACACAGGGCACGGCATGACAAGGCGTACCAAAAGATTTTTTTCGCGGGGAAAAAAGATTTTGGACGTTATTTTAATGATCTTAGCACTGACATTCCTTTATTTTAACACGAATCGACAGAAACGTCTCGCGTGACGCCGCGGCTGCTACTGCATGGCACGGCATCACAAGGGATGCGTCGGCACGGCGCGTCGTGGCATTCTATGGGATAGACAAAGTGTTAAGTAATTGAAACAAGGTTGAATATCTGACTCGTTGCGGCGGCAATCTCAGCGACACGTGCACCCGGTGCACGAGTGTCTTGACTTGTTTGCCAAAAGATCTTTCGGCATGACGAAGTATGCCTTGCTACGCAGTGTTATGCCGTGCTATGCCGTGCCATGCCGTGCCGTCTGTGAGTGCAGGCCCTTCGTCAAATAATAAAAGTTCAAAATGTCGCTACTTTATCGACGCCATTTTAACGCTTGACATACTGAATATGGTCATTATCTGTTTTTTATGGTGATTTTTCGAATTTTTTTTCGAAAGCAAAGCTTGTTTTTTTTTTTAAATATATTAGTCATAGTATACGACTTGTGTTTTTGTTTTTGTCGTCCTCCTAGTTTTGGTTTTATAGGACGACGAAGCTTAAGGTGACCATATCACCCTTACGTGCCTTATAAAATAAAGCGTAAATGGGTTTTTAATTTTAACTGTGTATGTAAATATTGTAAGCGTATCACCTACAGTTTGTTCTACGCAGTTACTAACTGTCGAAAAAATTAACAAGTTGTCGTTATCAATAATGAACAGGAAAACATTATCATCACTATTATCATAAAATGCTTTATTTAGCTAATATTTATAACTAAAACACGGCAGTGGTCGCCCAGCAATATGACACTGATGTCAACAAGGAATACGCTATTATGGGGAATAGTATAATTCTGAAATGCCAGGTGCCATCTTTCGTTGCCGATTTCATAGAAGTTCTCTCATGGCACACCGATGAAAATGAAGACTTCTATCCTGGAGAAAATTATGGTTACTTCCTTTCAGTAGTCCAATTAAAATAATAACTTTCCATAAATCCTTCACCAGTTAATCCATCTAAAGAGTATAAATAAAATTGTTCAGTGGTTCAACAACAGTATGAGTCAGAAGTTAACAATGAATATGTGATCCGCGGCAACTCGGCTATCCTCAAGTGCTCCATACCGTCTTTTGTGGCGGACTTCGTGAGCGTTGTCTCGTGGCACGATGAATCTGGCAACGCATTCACTCCTGCTGAAAATGAAGAGGGAAATGGTATATACCTTATTTATAAAGCTGGAAGCTACACAAGTCCGCCCTCCTTATTATAATAGATATCCTTTTCCTCGCCTATTTGAAAATATATTATGCATATTTCAGTTGTTACTCAATATTACGAAGCCGAAGTGGTCTCCGAATACGTAATTCGAGGAAATACGGCTATATTAAAATGTAAAATCCCTTCGTTCGTTGCTGATTTTGTCAAAGTAGAAGCCTGGGTTGCCTCTGACGGGGATACATATTTACTAAATAATGATACGGGTGGGAAGAGTTCTTTAATAGTTTTCTCTTATTAGTTTATCATTTGTCCGCCACAGTCCAGTTCCTTTTTATATATTATTTTAAAAGTTACTCCTGGCATATTTTGCAGTTGTAAATCAATTTTACGAAGCTGAGATTCTCACAGAATACGTCATACGTGGAAACGCTGCTGTCTTAAAATGCTCGATTCCATCGTTCGTTTCGGATTTTGTCAAGGTGGAAGCATGGATCGATGAAGAAGGAACAGTGATAAATTATTCCGAAGACCTCGGTAACAAAGGCTTCAATAAACAATGAAAACGCTTACTTCCCGCATTAGCGTCGTTCCTTACACCCGCCACCTATCATGTCCAATAAAGTCTAATTGATATTCTTCAGTTGTGTCACAGTATTACGTGACCGAAGCCGAAAACGAGTACGTGATTAGAGGCAACGCTGCTATTGTTCGGTGCAAGATTCCATCTTTTGTTAGTGACTTCGTGCACGTGGAAGCTTGGATTATGGACGACGGGCAAATACTAACTATGAATCACACAAACATAAGCGATGGTATACTCCCACGATATGAACCACTAATTATTATCCTCTCCAGATATCCTAATCATATGTTTTTTTGTATACAGACACAAATTAACTACAAATTTTCTATTAGTTGTATCTCAGTCGTACGAGGCCGAAGCCGACAACGAATATGTTATCCGCGGCAACGCAGCCGTAATGAAGTGCGAAGTACCGAGTTTTGTCTCAGATTTTGTTTACGTTGAAATGTGGACGGATAGCGAAGGAGGCACTTATTATCCCGGCCACAGCGAGGGTAATGCCTCACAGTGACATTTTTCCTAATTCCTACTTCCATTGCATTTTTTCTTTTATCGCAGCCGTGCTACAAACTTACGAGGCTAGGGTAAACGACGAATTTGTTTTGCGAGGCAACACTGCTATTCTTAAATGCATCGTGCCATCATTTGTTGCTGACTTCGTTAATGTTGTGGCTTGGATTATGGATAATGAGACAGTTCTTGCAGAGGAAAATCCAAATATTGATTCCGGTATCACTCCATGAAATAAACTTAAAAGAACCCATCTTCCTATCCTTTGAAAAAAAATTGTCTTATGACTACTATGTACTTAAAGGAAATTTTATTCACAGTCGTACACCAGAATTACGAACCTCGTGTTATTGATGAAGATGTTTTGCGTGGCAATTCTGTTATTGTCAAATGTACAATTCCATCGTTTGTGGCAGATTACGTACAAGTTGTGGAATGGGTAACGGACGATGAGTCCCTCCCTGTTTTTTCGTTAAGTGGCTCCGAGGGCAATTACGGTAATAGAGAGCGCCCGCGTGTCCTCAATTGTTCCTATCCGCTCTCCACAAAATCCCTGAGATCTGTTTTTTTATTATAATAAACTATATGTTATATAATATTTCAGCTGTTAACCAGTTCTACGAATCTCAAGTATACGATATCTACGTAATACGAGGTAACGCCGCGGTGTTTAAGTGTCATATCCCTTCTTTTGTATCTGAACATGTCTATGTAATGTCCTGGCATGATTCTGAAGAGGGCGAATACCTGGCGAACGAAAATTATGGTATATTAACCTGGGTACCAGCAATAAAATATTGCCTCCAATTCTTCCCCTCCCATTCATCATTTCGTGCATTTTGATACAATTTTGTATACGTTTCAACTTTACAGTTGTGTCTCAGGCCTATACAGTTAATTTAGTCGAAGAAAATGTGTTACGAGGAAATGCTGCAATACTTAAGTGCCTCATCCCCAGTTTCGTGACAGAGTATGTGTCCGTTGCTTCTTGGATTATCTCGGAAGATGACGATGAGAGAGAGATTAAAATAAATGACAGTGTTAATCAAGAGGGTATATCCATATCAAACATATATTGTCTCCTTATCCTAGCATCCAGTAAAACTCCTATGTGATCAAGTTACATGTTCGTACGTTTTTAATTGCAGTTGTGTCACAGGCATATACAGTAAATTTAATGGAAGAGAGTGTTTTGCGTGGAAATGCTGCAGTATTAAAATGCCATATTTCAACTTTTGTAACCGAATATGTAAGCGTATCCTCTTGGATAATTTCTGAAGACGATATAGATGAATTGGAAATTAAGGCTGAATCCAATGTATCGGGTATTTTTGGTTGCAAGATATTTTACGACTCCTATATATTCCTGTTTTCCTGAAAATATGAAAATTAAAAATAGAATTTCGAACATAGGAATTATGTGTTGTTACAGTTGTGTCACAAGCTTATTCTGTAAATTTAATGGAAGAAAATGTTCTCCGTGGAAACTCTGCGATTGTTAAATGTCATATACCCAGTTTTGTAGCAGAGTATGTAACTGTATCTTCTTGGATAATCTCAGAAGGGGACATTGAGGAACTTGAAATTAATCTTACTGAACTTTCAAACCTAGGTATATTGGAAATCTCAGCACAAAAATCCGACTTCCTGTTCCTCTTTATGTTTTTTGCAATAGTGTACGAGGATGCCATTTAATTTTATAATATTATGATAATCAATACTTATCGATTTTCGATTCGATTATTTATGTTTGAATTTAATCCTTATTTTCTAGTGATTTCTCAAGCGTACACTGTAAATCTTTGGGAAGAAAATGTATTACGTGGTAATGCTGCTATTTTAAAGTGCCAAATTCCAAGTTTTGTCAGCGAATATGTAACGGTTACTTCTTGGATAATATCAGAAGGCGATATTGATGAAATGGATATACATTTTGATTCTCAATTAAACTTAGGTATACCGTATTAGGTCGTCTATCCTGTTATATCCTACTTATTCCTAAATAAGCCCTGTTGAATTCTTAGTCTAAATTAAAATGTTTAAGTTGTTGTTTGACAACTGAGCTAATTCCTCAGTTTAAAACACCAAAAAAATTGTTGTATTTTCAGTCGTCTCTCAAGCATATGACGTTAAATTCTGGGAAGAATATGTTTTGCGAGGCAACGCGGCCATTTTAAAATGTCAGATTCCAAGTTTTGTCGCAGAATATGTCTCAGTGAGTTCGTGGATAATCTCTGAAGATGATAATGAACAAGAAATTAAAATTAGTGATTCCGAAAATTTAGGTATTCTTATTAATCGAACAATGTATAAAAATATAAACCTTGCTGGTCCTCTACAATATCCTTACACCGTTCCATTTGACCGTAAACATAATGTTATTCCGTTTTATTTCTAAGGGCATTTACAATTAATATGCCTTTTTATAGTTTATACAATGATTTCCTCAAGATCTGTTTCCCCCTTTTTGATGTTGGATACCCATGTTTCAGTGGTTTCCCAAGCGTACGCTGTAAATCTGATGGAGGAATATGTCTTAAGAGGCAATGCAGCTATTTTGAAATGCCACATACCGAGTTTTGTCTCAGAATATGTTACTGTCATCTCTTGGATTATCAGTGAAGGTGAAGAAGAGTTAGAGATTAAACTCGAATCTAACGAGAACTTTGAGGGTATGAATATTATTAAAATTCCTAAGTTGTCTTCCTACACGGTATTAAACCGTCATGTATATCGTATTGTTACTGAGGGTTTGTTCCTTATTTTTGGTTCCTGTCCATTCCATAGGCCTAACGGCCTACCTTAGTCCTATTTCCTCCTTCCTTAGGTTAATGCATGTCATTCAATTTTTAAGTAAATCGCAACCTTATGTTGCGTTGCATATTTATATTTTTAAAATGCGTGCAAAGGTTTTTGAGCTTTAGTTTTTTTACCATTAACAAATATTTACAACATTTTATTCTTTTTGTAGAGGGAAAATACTTAGTTCTTCCATCCGGAGAATTACATATTCGTGATGTTGGACCCGAGGATGGTTACAAATCGTATCAATGTCGTACTAAACACAGACTCACTGGAGAAACTCGTTTATCAGCTACGAAAGGACGCCTGGTTATTACAGGTGAGTAAATTTTTTTAAATTCGTGACAGAGCGCCATTAAATCATAACGATTAAATCTTGTGTCACCGATTTCGTTTTACTTTATTAAATATTTTAAAATTGTTATAATCGTTAAGTGATTCCTATAAAGTAAGTGAATTCATGGCGCTTTTAATGATAATAACTATCTTACAGTGACTACAAGAAACCATGAGTATAGAATAAAAATATTTTTTAATCATAATATATATATTTTTCTTTTTCTGCTTGAAGACAGAACCTTGTTTTTATTTTCACTGCAAGATCTTTTACATATAACAAATCATTTTTGTGTACTTAATGTGTAATAAAAAGAGAAATGTTTTCAGTTATTTTAAATATTAATTTAATGAATATTGATAAATATTTTCAGCAGTGTGATCCTCATAAAACTGAAAATATTTCCCTTGATTATGCTATAAAAAGTTTATTGCACGAGTAAACTGACAACATAACCTTTTCTAGTTTGGATTTGATAAACCGTATTAAGCATTTAATAGATTTTATTAAAATGATTTCAACAAGTAAAACGTTAAAAAAGATTATTTTGTCTGTACTTTGTTAAAAAGTATAAGCAAATGAACAAACGCGCTTGTTTATACTTATCATTTAGGAATAAAAACTTGCCTGAATGTTGGGATAGGGTATCCTGCAGAGCCTGGATTCGCGAATGTTTTGACAGCCTTACATATATAAAGTATTGTGTAGGAATGTATAGGATTTTTTAAAAAGTAAGTGTGTAAGTTTGTGGGCAATCTTCGTAAATTCACCTTCTCCCAACATGCGCAGAGCCGGTAGGCCGCGTGCCTCCGAAGTTTCCAAGTAGCGCGCAGATCACCAGTGGCTTCCTGTTTAGAGAGTCGTCCAGCCTCGCCGTTCTCTGTGCTGCACAGGCATACCCTGCGCCTATGTACCGGTAAGGTGAACTTTAAAGTTAAATCCGCGTATTTTGCGTATTCCTCAGAACCAATAGGGCGCGTGCCACCTAAACTGTCAACATCTCAAGTGAGCATCACGTTCATAACGACTTTGGATAAGTCGTTTACGTTACTCTGCCCCGCGCAGGCCTTTCCTGTCCCCATATTCAGGTAACTTTTAATTTACCAAATTTCCCTATTTCTAAGGAAAAATAATGGATTTTAGAGCCTGTCGGCCGTGTACCTCCCAAGTTTGCAACAGTCTTAACGGGGACCATGTTTGAAGTTAAGAAAGCCGAATCTTACGCGTTGCAGTGTCCTGCTCAAGCGTTCCCAACCCCACTGTTCAGGTAACTTTGCTCAATCAAACAAAATCAATATATTCCATTGCTTCTGTAGAGCCAGTGGGACGCGTACCGCCTAAATTTGCATCGGTTGTGATGGGAACGATGATAGGAGTGAAGAATAATGAGTCATTCGCATTGCAATGTCCCGCGCAGGCGTTTCCAGTTCCAATTTCCAGGTACTTAGTTATATTGAGGTCCTGTTTTAGCTAAAGAGCATTAAACACTTGTAGCATTATAAACAATAATATATTTCCAAGGAGAAGTAAATTAATTATGATTTAGAATATATAAGCTGTTTTCCTTTTGATCCAGAACCCATGGGAAAAGTATCACCAAAATTTTCGAGCTTAGAAAAAAGTCGACTTTTTAATTTTGAAAGCAATCAAAGCATGTCTCTTTTGTGTCAGGCGCAAGCATTTCCTGCCCCAATGTTTAGGTAAGTTAAAATGTACGCGTAGAATTGCGTCTAAACTTTTACGAAACAATATATTATTTCCTTGGTTTTCTATTTAATAAACGAAATTTATTCCCAAAGATAATATATTATAAAATATTTTTATGAACAGAACCAATGGGAAAAGTATCACCGAAATTTCCATCGATGGAAACCGGTCGCAGCTTTACTTTTTCGTCTAAAACCTATGTGACATTGCTTTGTCCGGCGCAAGCGTTTCCGACTCCATTATTCAGGTATTTCAATATATGTATAGCCATAAATGTTATTTCTTTAGAGCCAGTGGGCCGAGTTTCACCAAAATTTCCTTCGATGGATAGCTCAAGAAGCTTCAGCGCTATGTTTAACACGAGTTTAACGATATTGTGCCCCGCGCAGTCTTTCCCGGTCCCTATGTTCAGGTAATTGGTTTGTTGGTATTACAAATTATTCATAATATACAATTTATTCTTAGAGCCTGTCGGTCGAGTCTCGCCAAAATTTACAACTAGCGACAAAAGTCGAGCCTTCGATACTAAGGAAGACGATAACGTCACACTTTTGTGTCCCGCGCAAGCTTACCCTGCCCCAGCCTTCAGGTATTATATCCACTAGTTTATTAACTCAGTCGTTTATTTTTCTTTAGAACCTATGGGCACTGCTGCTCCAAAAGTAGCAAGTAAAGTAATCGATATTTCGGAAGTGTTATTAAACCATACTTGCACAATGCTATGTATGGCCCAAGCTTTTCCCGTTCCAATATTCAGGTAATTCATAGTGTAAATGTCTTTTCATTATAATATATATACTTATTCGTATGTTTATCTAGAGCCAGTAGGAAGAGTTCCCCCGAAATTTCCTACCATGGATAATGTTAGAGGGTTCAGTACTTACGTTAATGCTAGTGTGACTCTGTTGTGTCCCGCACAAGCTTTTCCAGTTCCTCTATCAAGGTAAATATTAGTGATACTAAATGGTTATAAATTTTCTTTTAGAGCCTATTAATAGCGCTCCACCAAAAGTTCCAACAAAAGTCATAGAATTTATGGAATTCGCAACTAATTCAAGTGTTACATTGCTTTGTCTGGCTCAAGCTTACCCGGTTCCAGTGTTTAGGTGAGTTATATTAAATCGTTTTCTTTACCGAATATTCTAACATATCATTGTATTGAATAGGCGCATTCATGTAAATTTTGTCAATGTTCAGGATAGTAAAAAATTTTTATTTTTTTTTAGAACCTATTGGCTTCAAAAGTCCGTCGTTTTCAAGCGGATCGAAGCTTTCCTGGTTTGAAATACATCATAGTCAGGATTTCGCTCTTATATGTCCTGCCCAAGGGTTTCCCGTTCCCGTTTTTAGGTGAGCGTTTAAATTTAAACTTGTGTAGGATATATTTATAGAGCCCATTGCGATAAAATCGCTTGCGTTTTCTACTGATGTCAAATTAGTATGATTTATAAGGCTGGAAGATTAGTTAGAAGTTTACGATTAAGATTAAAGATTTGTCGGGCTCAGGGATATCTTATACCATTATGAAGGTATTGAAACATTTTACCCATTTTCACTTCTTTATTGTGTCTACGTTTTAGAACCCATCGGATCGAAATCGCCCACATTCTCAACTGATAATAAATTTTCATGGTATCTAAGGACAGCTGGTCAAACTTTAAATATCCTTTGTCCAGCTCAAGGCTTCCCTGTCCCAGTGTTCAGGTGAATGAATATATCTATTTTTATTTATAGAACCCGTTGGCTCTAAATCCCCAACATTCTCTAATGATGTTCAATTCTCCGGTATCACTCGTAAAACCGGTCAGGACTTTGCTCTTTTATGCCAGGCTCAAGCGTATCCCGTTCCAATATTCAGGTAAGAATTTCAAGTAATATGCAATTAGTTTATATGTAACTGTCACAGAACCCATCGGTTCGAAGGCGCCATCGTTCTCGTTGGAATTCAAAAGCACCACGCTCACTAAAGTGGCCGCGCAAGCGATTGTTCTTTTGTGTCAGGCTCAGGCGCACCCCTCCCCTATTTTCAAGTGAGTGTCTATTAATTTAGTTTATTAAATTTTTAATTCAGAACCGGTAACGGCTAGAGCCCCAGCTTTTGCGACGACCGCTTCGTCTTACAATTATAATATTGAAGCAAATTCTGGTGGGTCGATGCTTTGTCAGGCCCAAGGGTACCCCCAACCGATGTTCAGGTAGGTGTTGGATTGTAACATTGTTTTAATTTTTTTTAGAGCCCATCGGTGCGAAAGCTCCTACATTTTCCACTGACTCCAAGGGCAGTATTTTTGTTAAAGATTCTGGGCAAAATTTCGCTTTATTATGCCAGTCCCAGGCATACCCTGTTCCAATTTTTAGGTAAGTTGAAAATCAATATATTACGTTAGCTTGACATGCTATTTCCTGTGCAGAGCCAGTGGGTTCCAAGCCACCAACTTTCACCACCGACTTTACGTTGTCGGCGGTCACGAGACATAAGGATCAAAGTTTTTCAATGATGTGCCAAGCTCAAGCATTCCCTATTCCGATTTTCAGGCAAGTGTTATTAGCGGGAGTGATTCACATGTTATGTTGGCCTCAGATATTGATAAATTTCACGATTTATTACTTATAGCGATACTTTATTTTAGAAACATCCCTTTTATAGTCAGTTCCATAAAAAAAAATTGTGTTTTGTTCTTTTCTAAAAATGTTACCAACGTGAATTTCAATATACAACAAAATAATAAAAGAAATAATATAATGTATGGGTTGATTCATTTTGAGGTACTTTTTTCAAAAATAAAGAACAATAAAATATTTCAATTTGATCGGGTAATTTTTATTATTATACAAATCTATCTCTATATAGAATCGATTCAGAAGGTCTACCGGTAATTCTAATGCAATTTGAAGTTTGTAGACTTTTAAACCAGGATTCTTACGTGAAATGCGTTAAGCTGTTGCATACAACAAACTAAGCTGTTGAGAACGGTGACGAATCGATTCATCACGGTCGTCGCGTACACTCTCAGCTACCGCCGCTATATTTTCTTCACTACATGCCGGATGAGGTCTATTTGGTCGCGTATTATCCAATAATGTAAATAGTGTTTCAAACTTTTCGATGGTATAGTGAATTGTGTGTTCGATAAGTTGATTATGTGAACTAGAAGTTGCTCTCAGCCCACGAAACCCATTCCTCGCAGAAAGCTGGTTTTCGTTATACAGCTGAATTATTTGTAGACGCTGTGCCAGATTAAGTCTTTCTATGATGGTATGTCAAACAATACTGAACAAAAATACATTGATAGGTTGACACGATTCGCGCATCATCTATCAAAAAATCCATATACAGAAAGTACCTCCAAATGAATCACCCAATATTAAAGATTACTATTGAGAAGAAACAATTTTTAATAATATAACCTTCAACCGAATAAAGTCGGTTAACACTCAGTTTTATCCTATTTTAGGAGTATTGTTCTTTTCAACATCTTTTTTTTGATACTGTGTATTTGTTTTCAACAGAGCCAGTCGGATCAAAGGCTCCTTCTTTTTCAACTGACTCTGCGCTTTCTTCCCTAAAGAGGCACGAAAGTCAAAGCTTTTCTTTATTGTGCCAGGCTCAAGGCTTTCCCGTCCCCATTTTCAGGCAAGTTTTTCATTAATTTGTTTTTACTGAATTCTCACTAAATACGTAAACATTTGTAGAACCGGTTGGTGCTAAATCTCCGACATTTTCCTCTGAATCGATGGGAAGCATATTTAGAAAACGTATCGGACAAGGGTTCGCTCTTCTATGTCAGGCTCAAAGTTATCCAGCTCCAATTTTCAGGCAAGTCTTCTTTACTCTAGTATTTAAAATTAACCGAACCTTTGCACTCCAGAACCAGTTGGGTCCAAAGCTCCTACTTTTTCTACGGACGCCCGTAGCACTACTTTTATACGAACGGTCAATCAGAGTTTCGGCCTGTTATGTCAAGCTCAAGCATTTCCCGTTCCAATATTCAGGCAAGTTGTGATTTTTATGACCAATATTGACCAATTGATTTAAAGATATTTTACTTTGTATGATTTTTGATTGGGTTTTCTTTCTTCGCGTATTACGAAACGCAGTTATAATCCTTAATAGTTTCGACGAAACATTTAAGCAAGTAGGGAGCTTACATGTATTTTTTACTTAGTATAGTTACAATTTGCGCAAATTCAACAAAAAGTTTATATGTTCCTTCAGAACCAATCGCAAGTGCAGTACCGAGTATCACTGCAACGCCAAAGGCCGCCGTGCATTATGCACAACTTCTTTCGTTAGCTCTGTTGTGTCCAGCTCAAGGATACCCCGTTCCAATATCAAGGTGCGTTTATTGAATTTAGACCATATATTACAGAACCGACTAATAAAATTGCGCCGAGAAGCGACAAAAGCAGGAAATTCGAAGGTGGTGAAATTTTTTTAGCTTCTCAAACAGAGTCTGTTTTTCTTACTTGTGAAGTAGCTGGTTACCCACCACCTATATTTAGGTAAGTTATATAGACTTTTAACTCAGACCTCTTATTCTTCAGGTTATTTTTTTGAAATGACTTCTTACTCTTCATGATGTACGTTATCACGAACAGATTTATTATCGAAATGAGCAATAGTTTTAAGTAGGAAAGTATACGAGTAGGTCGTCTCATTAGACGTTTTAACAAGTCGTCCTTGTACTTGCAGAACCTACCAATAAAATTGCACCTAGGAAAGTTTCCACTAAGCATTTTGAAGGTTGGGAGGTATTGTTCGTGTCTCAACACGATGTAGCGTATGTTACATGTCAAGTCGCTGCATATCCCGTACCCGTATTTAGGTGAGTGGTAGGAGTAATACCTGGTGATTATCGGTTTGCCTTGCAGAACCGTCGGGTAGGACTGGACCGAAAGTGACAGGAGACGGGCTTAACCGTCAAATAGGGCGAAGCAACGAAAGTCTCGCGCTTCTTTGTGAGGTTCAAGCGTTCCCCGCTCCTATTACGAGGTAACGGCCTTAGTCGGCGCCGGCCGGCCGGTCGCACGCGTTCATCCATCGCGCAGTCACGCAGTCACACCATCCCATCCAATGTATTGATATGCGTTGTTATTACAGTCTGATGCGGCGGGCGCGTCGCCCCCGCTCACATGAAGGCGTGATGAACCGCGGCCGGCCGCGCGCCCATATTACGATCCTCAGCCAAAGTAACGATTGAGCGGCGTAGACACCTCCTGGTAAGTGTCAGGGTGTTCTTGCTTTCATTCAGACGCTTTAATCTTTACTTTGTGCTTCCCGTGAATCATGGCTATACATTGTGTTAACTCATCCGGTTAACTATAGCTAATTCTTATCGATGCGGTAGCTTTCCATAGTTGATTTTTTCTGTACCTAATTACTCGCTCATTTTATTCTAAAGTGTGTTTTGTTTTATTTTCTACTATTCGTTTCTTCGTATTATTTTGGATAATAGGACGTTCAAGTGACATTACCATAATTTTTTTAATATATGATTTGGAATTTATTAAGCCATTGATAATCCTCTCTTTCATGATTTTATCGCTGTCGTTACAATTTTTTGATGTTATTATTTGAATAATATAATATAAGCGAAGTCACTTTTTAAAATACATATCCTTTAAATTACACCAAAATTTTTAAAGTTAATCGTAGATTGCTTGATGTTCTAAAAGTAATAATTAAAAATAAGAGCTAGAGATCATTTGAAGTTTGAAACTTTTAACCGAGTGTTGTCAACAAAATCTGAACTCATTCTCTTTTGTTACAGATGGTACAAGTTTATTGATGGCACTACTAGAAAACAGCCGGTTGTACTGAATGACAGAGTAAAGCAGGTCTCTGGAACACTGATAATTAAAGAAGCTAAAGTTGAAGATTCTGGAAAATACTTGTGCGTTGTCAACAATTCCGTCGGTGGTAAGTTTCGTAAATAATTTAAACACATTTATCACGAAATTATTTTTTTAGAACTTATCCCAAACCAAGTTGACAAGGCGGATGTTTTTTAAATATTTATTGCTTCGTCCCGCGGATGTCGCTACGAATATTTTAAAAATATAAGGTTGTTGAGAAAAGATTTGACTATCCTGTAAACAAATCCGCCCGGCAACATGGCGATATCGGCGATTAAAGTTAATGCTCCCAATTAATTATGAGTTATCAATCAGTAATAGTTACAAAATAAAGACATTTAAAAAAAAGGTCGCCAAATGTATTTTTACTTACAGGATCACAAGTGCGACTGTGCGAATAATTGTACGTTGTATTTATTTATACTGCACTTGTGATTTGTTATCATATCACCAAATGATTTTGCTTTTGTCGTGATCTGACTGAAACGATCGTTTCAGGCGAATCTGTTGAAACTGTACTGACTGTGACCGCACCTCTTAAGGCTACGGTCGAACCTGCGACGCAAACCGTTGATTTTGGCAGACCCGCTGTGTTTACGTGCAGATATGAGGGCAACCCTGTTAAGACTATCACCTGGCTAAAGGACGGCAAGGATATGAAGCATCATGACGCCATCTTAAGGTAAATTTCTCTTTACTACTACTCTAGCAACGATACATTACCTATATTTTCTGCTAACTCTTTCTTCCTATTAGCATAAAAATGATCTCAAATGTACTTGCATAGGTATTAATATATGTTTATTAATATATTAGATAACAGCTTAGTTTTTTTTTAAATAAAACATATTTTTTAGGAGTCATACATTTTTTATCTAAGCTCATAATTATAATAGCTCCACACACCCACAGTACGATTTTAAAGTACAGTACTAAACTTGATGAATGGTTTTGGTGTAGGCTGCGCAGTGTTAATTGATAGTTCTGTTGTTTTTTTCAACTTAAAATATTAGGTTTCCTTTAAATATGCCAATCTTTTTTGAAATTTGGAGAATGTCAATGGTAGTGATAATGGGTAATAACGTGGTGTTAATATTTATTGCCAATGATTTTTGTTAAAACAATAAAATGTATCGTTACAGGATTGAATCTGTTAAGAAGGAGGACAAGGGCATGTACCAGTGCTTCATCAGAAACGATCAAGAAAGTGCCGGTGCCAGCGCTGAACTTAAACTTGGAGGACGGTGTAAGTTTGCCTATGTATGAGCTAATCTATCAAAAAATCAATAAAAAAAGAGATGAAATTAAATATAGATATAAAATAAATTAAAACCTTTATAAGTTATTTGGAATAGTAGATTTTTACTTGGATCACATTTCTATAATAACAATCACTGTAACAATAAAAATAGTGCTTGGACTAAGAACGTCTTATTCTTCAGACCGAATTTCGATCTTGGCGGCCAGTCTCGATGTAAAACTTGGCATCTGCCCAGGTCAGGATTATATTATATATAACAAGTGTGAACACAAGCTCGGGGGGAAATCGCTAACTTCAACTCGAACTAGGGTCTATATGATCAGCAGACGCGTTCACGACCGTTAGACCAACAAGAAAGTCACGTGATCCAAGTGATCGCATTATTAGACTTCTCGCAGTCGTCTTGAATATGGTATACCTATATGCGAAAAAGTTATATCGCTATTAGGTAGCTATGAGAACATCCTTGAATTTCCAACGGTCAATTTTTATAAAGACGAATGAAGATGAATGATACGATATTGCTGATTCGGAATCAAAATTCAAATAATATCAGCAAGTAGATAATTCAACTTTTTGTTCTTTCATTTCCCATAATAATATATTATAAAACCTTAATATCTTCCAGTATGATTTAATTCTTATAAAAAATATCCAAGAATTACATCATTACCTATACACTATTACTTCTTAATTTTTTATATAATTAAGGATGACAAACGAGCACACATTCCGCCTTACGATAAGTGGATGCTGTGACCCATAGACATCTACATCTATCCTCGATAAAGAATCAAAATGCAGATGTATTGTCACCTATGAGGACTAAGATGAGAAGCCTTGTTTACTCGAGGGCATTCGCATTTTTTACACTCGCCACACAAAACCGCATAATTTAAGGTATAAGCTATTTTACGCTGGTTTTCTGTAAGAGCGCTGTTCTTCCCTAGTCGAGCCCATCCGTTTGTGTTATTAATATAATATATAATCAGCATGGCTCTACCACGTTTGAAATTCTTATGATTCTAGTTTTTTTACCAGTTACTCGACTCCACCGAGTCAGTAATTCATTCTTGGGGCGATGTATACGCTTTTATAACAAAATCCCAGAAAATATACAAAATTTGTCATACACAAAGTTCAAAAATGTTATTAAACTAAGTTTGTATAAAAAGGGTTATTATAATATTAAGGAATTTATGGATGATAATAACACCTGGTAAGGGTGATCGCTACCAAGCTATTTCTAATTTGTCTTGTGTTGTTAATTGTAAACATGATTGTAAGCTATTATTGGAAAAAAACTAGTCCTGCTGGGTTTCTTGCTGGTTCTTCTCAGGACAGAGGTTTTTTTTTGCGAATCAGTGGTAAATTAAAAAAGTGACTTTCAATAAGTATTGTTATAATCTACATTGAATAAAAAAGTTTCTGTTTCATTTCCACTTTTGTTAAGAGTGTATATTTAAATTCCAGTCGAACCACCACTAATCCGCCACAGCTTTGGTGAGCAAACTCTCCGATCTGGACCATCGCTCAGATTAAAATGCGTCGCGTCCGGTACCCCGACTCCCGACATCGCCTGGCTGCTGGATGGCGAAAAGCTGAACAGTGGGGAACGCCTGCAAATCGGACAATTCGTCACCGCCGATGGAAACGTCGAGTCTCACCTAAACATCTCTTCAGTGCACACGAACGACGGTGGTCTTTATTCCTGTATTGCATCTAGCAAGGTAATTCAGATTTTTTTTAAAATATATTCATTTCGTAAACTGCTATATTACTGTCTTGAAATTAAAATCGTCATATAAATCATCGAATTTGAAAATACTAGGGATGAGGAGTCTATTTCCTGAATAATTTACAAATCACATCATAATCTAATATGGCGATAAAAAAGTCACAATCAATTAGTGATTATAACAAGTCCGAGAAGAGCTTTCATTTCTTTACCGAGAAAAGCTTTCACTGTCGCATTACGACTCTAAGCCGATGGATTTATATACAAAACAATGCATGTTGTTCATGTGTTTAAAGACGGTACTGCTTTTTTTCCGTATTTACTCTTTCATTTACAATTTTACCTTATTTCAGCTAATCTCACCTGTAGCTCAGGTAAATGACCACTTCACCTCAGAGGCTATGATGAATTACATCTCAAGTGGTTATTACTTTAAGAGTAAATGAAAAACAGTACACCGTCTATATGGATTGTTTTGGTTCTTAGATCATAGTAAGGGTCACAAACGAACACTTCATAGTCCACCTGATATTAAGTGGATGCTGTGGCCTATAGACATCTACACTGATCTTCGATTAAGAATCAAAATGGAGTGCGTTATTACTTAGCGATACACAAGAGCATTCATTCATGCTGCTACCATAGTACTAGCCTACTGCCGATCCTATCGCATAGGCGTTACATCGGGCACGGTTAGGTTAGGAAGAATGTGTGCCTCTGTGTTACTGCGTATACTTCTACTGCCTTATTAATAAAAATTGCTTATTCCTAGCTTAATTCGAAGTTACACTTGGACTAGCTAATCTCAGAGTAACTGACTATTTACTTCGTTATTACAATGTTATTAATAAGCATGGAGTAACCTCGGACTAACTATACATTCCTTACGCCGGGATTAAGTCTTGCGCTATGGCAACCCTAAGTGGGTTGCCATAGCGCAAGAAGTAAAAAGAGTGAGTCAGTGAATGATTAGTGAATGAATTCAATGCTTGATGATGACATTAATGACAGTGACAGGCAATATTTTGAGTTTGACAAGAGATAAATGTTACGGGTTGTTCCTTGTTCCTCGTGTTGTTTTTGGAATCGGTGGAAAAACTAAGTTTCAAATATAATCATTTTTAATATTATTTGTAACGAAATTTTAGAATTGAGAAAAGAGCGTGAAGGGCAAAAGTTTTTTGGGGATAAATAAAATCTTTTGTACATGTAATTATTGTATATTTATTTAAAAAATCGTTTATAAATGCTGCCCGAACAGAATTTCCTCTAACGGAGTGATTTACTAATTGTGTGACTGATATATTTTCATCATCTCCTTATACTACATCCTCAAGCAGATCTTGCTTTTGCATTGCAATGTATATATTGTTTTGTATGCTCTTATTTAGTATTTAGTCCTCGCAGTAAACACCGAAACCTTTGCTTCCCTCCAAAGCATTGTTCTACAGTGTAACGGGGCTACCAGATGTGCGACCAGTTGTACATTCTTCCTTTTGTTTATTAGGACGCAGGATAGGAGTGTATAAATAAGAAGTACAAGCACAACCAGAATCTCCGAGAAGTTTGCCTTTAAATTCTGACTGCTCAAACATTTGTTTTAATGCGACGATAATTAAATATTCTTGAGTCATGTGTGCTGCCTTGCCAATGTGCCACTGTATCCATGATCTCTAAATTTGCATTTGACACAACCTGGAACAAAGCACTCATAACTTCTTTAATATGAATATGAAGTAATAGATTGAGGTGATTTTATTGAATCTGAGAAAATAACTAAGTATCTATACGGCAGAGATGGGCTAGCTAGGTGCTATAAAACTTACTTGTACATTTATTGAACTGTATCCTTTCCTGTTTATGTAGTATTGTCCGATGTTTCCAGCGACTTTCAGGATTAGAATATGTAGCAATCAATAAGCCCCAATCACTTGTCTAAATCCACATAATGAATAAAAACCTGCAACCACTTTGTTCTGCTCCACATCACTTCTTGGCATTTTAATCCATTATGCTGTTTTTGTTACTAGTGCTTACAACTTATGAATTTAACACGGGTAACAACGGGCGTAAACGTAAAGTTTTACAAAATGTCAAAATACGCGACTAGTCTATGCTAACTCAGTCGTTAAACTAGTTACCGCCAAGGATTAACTTTTATTCCGAGAGTAGATTCGGATTAGTTTACCCCCTCCTTACTCTATGTTTATTAATACTGAAATTAGATATTTTAAGCTTTAAACTAGGAGTAAAGTTAATCTTGCTCAAGTCTGTGTTTATTAATAGGGCTTGTAGTGTCATGATGTATCTTGTGCGTTTGATAGCTTCCGGAAGTATTTGGAAGTCAAGATTATGCAAAATGATGAACTTCATAATCATTCGTGACGGGCGATTGGTTCTCAGGTTGGCAGCGCCTCGCACGCCGCTCGCGTTAACGTGTACGGGTTGCCGTACGTGCGGCCGATGAAGAAGCGGCCGGTCGTTGCTGGAGACACACTGATCGCTCACTGCCCGGTCGCCGGTTACCCCATCGAGTCTATTGTCTGGGAACGCGACAACCGGTCGGTATTATATTTCATTTTATTTTCATTTATTTGTACTAGGTATATTCATTTAGATTGAACTTAGTTACTTTACATTTACACTATTTTCTAATATTCACGTCATCACTACAACCCACCGTGTGTCCATTGCTGAACAAAGGACTCTCCAAAGGCCCCCAAACCACAGTCCTTAGCCACCTACATCCTTTTACTTTCTGCATCTCCTACCAGAGCCCCCTTACTCTTCGCTTCTTGCCACTCCTTTGGTTTATATCACTTAATCTTGTTTTCTTTCGGATACGCTCATTACGAAGTCTATTACGCAAAAAAACTCTGAGCATGGTCAATTTTATCTAAATAATTTTTCTAATAAAACAATATGACTCTTCCAAATTTAAAACGATATTTCCACAATTATTTCTTCTGCGGCAGCAATGTACCGGGTACATAAAATTGATATGTAAAACTGATATATATATATATATGACTCAAATAAATTTGTCGGTATGATATGTGCGCCACCTACATTAAGCCTATGCCTATATTTTTTTTATATTCTATATAGAACATTAATTATATATATTAGATGAGTGACAAACGAACACAGTCCACCGGATTGTAAGTGGATGCTGTGGCCCATGGACCTTTACATCTGTCTTCGATTAAGAATCAAAATTCGGATACGTTGTCATTCCTGAGGACTAATAATTATAAAATGCCTCGTTTCCAGTATAACGGGTCTCTGGTTCTCTAAACTCAACATACGAAACACAGCAGCATTAAGCTACTATTTCACGTTGGTATTCTGTGAGAACGTTGTCCCTTCCGGGTCGAGCCGACCCATTCGTACTACAACCGTAATGTAATTTTAGCGTGGTTTTACGACGTATAAATCATCATCAGCCATATGTCATCGCAGGCAATATGCACGGGCTATACACTCTTTACAAATTTTGAGGTAAATGTGACTAGAAAATGTGATAACATCTCCCGAACGCTGCTAAGCCGCGTTGAAACCGCCGATTGGCCTCGCGGTCAAAGTTGAATTTATCTAGTCGTATAATTTTTCCTAGCTAAACACATAACTATAGTCTTGTTATCTTGTTGGAGTGGCCCATATCTAACTGTGGACCTCTACGTGCTGATAAACAAGAACAAACCGATACAACAATTTTTAGATTGTTTGTCTATTTGTTTGCGCGTACGTTAAATAATGCGTCTAAGTATAATCCTATAACTGTACAGCAGCATAATGAGACAGATTCTTACCTACGCCTCCACTGTCTGGTCAACCCAAAGACGACTGCGGACGGACTAAATAGTCTACGAAGGACTGCCTGTTTAATGGCAACTGGAGCGATACGATCCTCGTCTGCAATTCAATGCCTAACGCTCTTTGAGCTTTATTTAGACAAGGAGGCGGAAGCTAGTTTGTATAGAGTTAGTGATAATGGCTAGGCCGATTTCACTGAAATTGCCTTTATTGTGTAGATTCATCTATAAACATCTTTGTCTGCTAACCAGGAGGTAGGACTTCTTTTCTGCCAAGGAGTTCGTTTGAGTACGTGCCACTCTCTTATGTATTTGTGTCGCCAAGTAGCAGGGCCTGCACTGCGATGTTTCGTTCAGTGCTCTCTGTGGCACATTGGATAATAAAGATCCAAGAACAAAGTGCGTAATCATTTATAGATACTATTATGGAATGTCACGTTGTCAGTAATGAGGCATCCATAATCTTTTCTGCCACCAGAGCGGCGTCACTTAAAAATGCGGTGTAATATTTGACAGATTTCATAGTGGGAAAGTTAATTTAGAAAAATATAAAGTTTAATTTTTCTTTCTGTACTACTAGTTATATTGAAGTGAAAACTTCTTTAACGGCGTTGTACACTTTATTTGTAATGGGTAAAAAATGTTTAACTCGCGTCAGGACACGTGACCCTGATCGAAAATGCGTAAGACGGATGGAGAGAAAGAGACAGCCGGCGTGGCATAGGAGAGGAAGTATCCCCCTCTCATTCTACTAATGTCTGCCTGCTGTGTCGTTTAGTTGTGTACGATAGCGCAATAAATAAATATTGTATTCTACCACATAAATGATACTTTTATACTGATAATTAAAGCAATTCGTGCAAAATTATTCCCTAACCATTCCAAAATATCAAAAATGCACAACAGTAATATTCAAGTTTTCACTTCCGGAGTGCAACCCGTCGTTTTTTTATATTCATTAGATTAAAAATAAATAAACCAAACCACAGATATTCATAAAAATAGAATTTTTTAAAAAGAGTAAAAAATTTGCAAATAATTAAAGGGTAAACCACTGAGGCACTATTTTGTGTATTAACATAATACTCTATAAACTCATAAACATTTATTTAAAACTAACTTCTCAATTAAATGATATTGTGTAACAAAAACCTTCACCTCTATGTCAACTACGACATCTGGTAGGCAGAAGATTATTAACCCTCATCGTTATCATTGTTCATATACTTACTAATTTTTATTTAGACCTTTGTTACCCCGGTCGAACAAACAGATTAACGTCGGAAATTTGCGTGATACTGAAAATATCCATTGATAGAATCAGGAATTACTTTGCGGAAATCCATTATAATAAAGATATTAATATTTACGTTGCAACCATCCTCTAAATTAAAAACAATGATGTGTCTTACCTTGATTGAAGACCACCTCCCGCCCTCCCTCAATTGCGTGCACCTTGAACGAATTAACCACTGGACCCGACATATGAGCGGACGTACCTATATCGGTCTTGTCAGTAACCAAGCAATTTTAGGCTTGGTCGTTTGTTTTTGCGTCAGTCTCAAGCACTTACTTGTCGACAAAACATCTCCCAAAAATGACTAAATGTTCAGTTAAATGGTGTAAAAACTATAGCGGCGGAAGCAGCACTATTTCTTTTCACTTGTAAGTACATTATTTTATTACATTTATGGTTATTTATCACTATATTAAATAATAAAATATAAAATGTAAAATAAAATTTCTTATTATCCAACTATGTTAAATATAGTCGATATTTCTATGTATTGTTGACATCTGACAACCATCGCAAAATGGCTGGATTATACCATTCAGAACAGTGACTAAAATTGTGGAGTGAGTCAATTTGACATCGACTATTGCGTGACCATGTCGAAAAATATCGATATTTGACGATATGACTGAATGAATGATGATGTTATTTGTACAATACAATAACACTTAAAAATACTTATACATATAACAGTATCCTACAATCCGATGTATTAAATTTATAATAATAATTTTTATAATTAAATAAAAATATTATAAATGCAAAAATTATAATTAGTATCTGTACTTAAAATATTTAAACACATAAATTACACGAATTTTCAGATTTCCCAGTGACCCTTCTCGGAAGAGAAAGTGGGTAGAAGCAGTTCGTAAAGATGAAACCTGGATCCCGACGAAACACAGCGCCATAATATGCAGTGTATATTTCGATACTGCAAGGGGACAAGGGAAAACTGATACTTCCCTCAAGTGATACCATAGCTATTTGTTAGCACTGCGAACTCGAACTTAGGAAGGGTGTTCAGAATAAAAGACTAAAAAAAGATTACACAACAGACTTTCTTCTGCCGAAAGTAACAGAAACATTGCTGCAACTTCCGTTGTACGAAGACATTCATTTCCATAAATTTGGAAACGACGACGTGAATCACGTTTCTACGAATTTCGTATCTGTGTTTACATTAACGTAATAAGATCTCCGTGCGCGTTATTCTCCACTTGGTTGAACGAGTTTTCATACATTTGTGTTTTATGTCAGGTCCAGTGGTTAATTCGTTCAAGGCGTGCACTAATCCCGTCACCACTAATTCCAGTACCACTACTCCAAACACCTGTGTGTGTTTTTTTCTGTCTCCTTAGTAATTCAAATTCATTATAAAACAGACATTTTTGGCGTAACGAATTTATTTATTTATATTGCATACATAAATGAGTACTTACAGAATAAATTGCTCGCAATATCCATCATATTCTATTATAGTATTAAGAAACGATAACACCACCAGCTGTACATATCGCCTAAACAACAAATAAACACAATAACATTATAGGTATTTCCTGTGTTTAGTCCCAAATAATGTTCGATCAAATTTAGGTGTACGTGGTATAGAGCCACGCTGCAGCTATATTATGGTTGTAGCATGCATGGGTCGGCTCGACCGGGGAAGGACCACGCTCTCACAGAAAACCAGCGTAAAATAGCAGCTTAATTCTACTGTGTTTCGTATGGTGAGTGTAGAGAACCGAAGACCTGTTCTACTGGAATCGAGGCAATTCCATCTTAGTCCTCAAGGGTGACAACGCATCTGCATTTTGATTCTTAATCGAGGTTATATGTAGATGTCAATGGGCCACAGCATCCACTTACTATCAGGTGGTCTGTATGCTCGTTTTTCACCCTTATCCTATAAAAAGGTCATCATGTTGGATCCATGTGCCCCCTCCCCAGAGGTCACGTGGCCATCTTGTCTCCACATTTCTATTATCATATTAAAACAATGTTTTACTTTAGCGATGTAATGACATATTCTTAATTGTTGCTTACAGTGTGCTACCCATTAACCGTAAACAGAAGGTCTTTCCCAATGGCACCTTGGTAATTGAGAATGTAGAGCGCATGAGCGACCAAGCCACGTACACCTGCGTCGCCAAAAATTCTCAGGGCTACACTGCTAAGGGAACTCTCGAACTGCAAGTCATGGGTTAGTGATCTTTTTACATATATTATATATAACCTTTAATTATGTTTTTTCTTACAAAATTTGCTCAGTAATTAATTAAATAATTTGTAAACATTTATATAGTGAGAAAATTTTATAATGCTTTTATCACATTCATATACATAATTTTTGACTAGTTGAAAATATTAATAACTATCTGATTACCCTGTCAGGCAAATTAATATGCTAATTACTTTTTAAAGAGCAAATTTATGTAGAAATATAATTATATAAAGTAAAAGGTATAAATATGTAATATTCCGGTCTAAATTGATTCAATATTTTAACTAAAATAACTTATTTTAAAAATTTATGTATATTTATTTTCCTAAAGAAAAGAAAGGAAACTTGCAAGATTACATACTGTTGTTGCTTAATAAAAATTTATATCTTTTACAAACATCTGATGAAACATTTCCCTCAGTTATTTGAAGAGTTTGCTTTCTACAATCTTAAGTTAAACATTTAGTATTTGTGGAAATTTTTTGTAGTCATAAAGCAAAAACAAAATTTTCATATTTACTAAGATTTAAAAAATGTACTTACGTTTTATTTTTTAAATATGTTAAAATGAGACTCACAATACTTGCATAGCTCTTTAAAAATACCAGATATATAGCATCATTATTAAATGGATGTGGCCAGGGGCGAGGCAAGGCTGCCGGCGGGTAGAATTCAAAATTCTACAAAAAGAGTTAACTTTTCGCACACGTCTGCAAAGAGAAAGGATAAGAATAAAAATAAATTATATTGTTTCTTAGTTATATAATATGTATATATATATATATATATATATATATATATATATATATATATATATATATATATATATATATATATATATATATATTATTTTGAATGTTTTGAAGATGTTAAAAATTTTACATAGTATTTTGTAGAAAGCAATAACTCTGAGTGTCATAACTCATAACGTAATATACAGTTTTTCTGTTTAAATTTCAATGCTTTTAAAGTAATAAACACTCAGAGCCTCTTCATATATCTCATATAATGTCATATTCACTGAATAGAAGAAAACATTAAATCAAATTAAATCAAGCATAGAAGACTACTTTAATTGTAAAACAAAAAGTGGGGTTATTTTTTTTTTGTTTCAGTTTATGACATTATTACTTTTGTGTATAATAAAAATTCTATTGCAGAGACTTCGCCAAGGTACTTATTTTGTAATGTACTCATTGTTTGCTATTTAATATTAATATTTTATAATAAAAGTAGGATGAAGTTTATGCCCGCCAAAGCTACACCGTTTGCCACACACGACCTCGCACTAGTGTAGACACAGCTTTATCCTAATGTGAATTAAACGCAGTTCCGCCGCAAATATTACCGTTCGAGTTCGGCGATGAGCCCGCGAACGCTGGCGAACTGGCTTCGGTTTCGTGCGCTGTGAACAAGGGCGACCAGCCTCTCAACCTTACCTGGACCCTCAATGGTCAGATACTGCAGAGAAATAATGACCTCGGCATAACCATAACGAACATCAATAAAAAGACCTCTATCCTTAATATCGATTCTGTCGGTGCTATACATCGTGGATTATACTACTGTGTGGCGACGAACATCGCTGGCTCCGCCAACCACAGCGCTGTGCTCGAAGTTAACGGTACTATACCCTAGAGATAAACGATATCTTCTCCTTTTTGTTTAATATTTCCTTGTTCCTCTAGACGGTCCTGAATTAAATCCGTTATTATAGTACCGCCGCAAATCACTCCGTTCGAATTCGGTGAGGAGATACTGAACGAGGGCGAAACGGCCTCCGTGTCTTGCGTAATGAGTAAAGGAGATCTTCCCGTCACTTTCAAATGGCTTTTCAACGGAGAGGAGATTAAACCGCGTAACTCTCTCAACATCGTACTCACGACGATCAGCAAGAAAACCTCCATACTAAATATTGAAGCTGTCAACTACGCTCACCGGGGCTCCTACACTTGCCAGTTAAAAAATGCAGCCGGAGCAACAAACCACACTACTTCGCTCAGTGTTAATGGTTAATAACAAATGACTATTTAAAATCGTTAGATATATATGTGTAAATAATATATTTTGCGCCTCACTTAACTCCTTCCTATAACCTTTATCGTAGGTGACGAATCGCCAGCACTGGTTAATATTACTCAATAGATTGAAGATTTTGTCAGAAAGTTTTTATTAAAATAAGAATATAAAAATCTTCTTACACATATCTTAAATTATAAATTAAAAACATGCAAAGAAACAAACTATTTTTATTTAGTTTAAATAAAAATAAAGGCATAAATTTCACTTAAAATAATTCGATTCATTTAAATCTACGAAGATTTCTGAATGAAATATTTTTCAAATCTGATTATTCGAAGATATTATTATCCTGTTTATGTATTTATTGTTCAATATCTTTGAAAACAATGTTGCTTTTATGCGACTGCATCCTTGAAAAGTTCATTAAAATCCTGTGCGGCAAATATAGCCTTTAACCATTATGGACAGAAAGAATCCCAGATCCACGAGTGAGAATCTGAATTATTTCTTGGTTTCCATTTTATTCCATTTATTTACTAGCTCACTCTTGCGACCATAGAATACTATAATACACAGTAGAATGGCTGTCAACTTTACTTTGTACGAGGGTTGGCGTCGCCAAACCCGATTCGCTGTGTTGATAGACTGAATAAATTTAAACATTATAGACTTTTGATTAATGTTCAAGACCATCATTAAAAAAAATCGTTTAAATTTTAATACATATTTATTTGTAAGTAGGGTGCGATTTGACATTTTTTAAATAATTTGCATGCGAAATTTGGAAACGATTGTAACGTCAAAATACATGTCGAGTTGCATTTACACGTGTGAATGGACGTATTAGTGACATTTTAGTGGCTACGCGGGCTCCGCCCACTCCCCCGTTCTATTATGTATGTATTATAGTATTCTATGCTTGCGACAGTTTTGCCCCAAATTCATCCGTTTACCTTCGGAGATGAACCAGCCAACGCGGGCGATACCGTCGGCGTTCAGTGTATGGTGACGAAGGGCGACGCTCCCATCAATATCACGTGGCATTTGAATGGAAAAAATGTTAAAGAAATTTCCGGTGTTACTGTCACCAAGATTGGTCATAAGTCGAGCACATTGTCCATCGATTCGGTATCTCTAATACATACAGGCACTTACACTTGTACTGCCGAAAATCAAGCGGGCCATGCTAATTATACGGCAGATCTAGCGGTCAATGGTAAACACTATTAATTCGCATTTGAATTACCGTTGCTTTTTATATGATGTTTTGCTTAAGTCTTAACCATTCCCTCCCTTTCTCCTTCTTCAAGTATAGCCTAGCCCTGTCAAAAAAAAGACAATACCTACCAAAAGTAACCGTAAAAATTCATATAAACATTTACATAGACATATTGATTGGACGTATCTGAACAGTTGTACCGCAGGTAACGCCTTTCGATTTCGGAGAAGATATTTTGAATGCAGGCGATACCGTGTCGTTAACATGTACGGTCGGAAAAGGAGACTTGCCCCTTAATATTCACTGGCAGCTTAACAAAGAAACATTGAACTCCGGAAATGGAATTCAAATAAACAGAAATGGAAAACGAATTTCGATTTTAAGCATTGAAAACGTGCAACATGAACACATCGGGAATTATACTTGTATCGCTGAAAATGAGGCTGGTCGTAGTTCCCACAGTGCGGTGCTCAACGTAAATGGTATCTTTAAAATAATGAACTCACTATATTTATATTTTATAATTTCGCTTTTATTTGCAGTGTTTTATGTTCCTGTTAATGTTTATACATGCAATATCTTATCCCTTACAATATCCAAAAAAACGTAGATGATTTTTATTTAAATAGCGCGTTTTCCATCATATAGTTGCTCCACAAATAAAGCCTTTCGATTTCGGAACGGAACCTGTAAACGATCAGGAAACGGTGGTTGTAACCTGTACGGCTAGCAAGGGCGACTCTCCGCTCAGTATGCAATGGTATTTCAATGGTCAAATGGTCAAGTCCGGTGTGAACGGCATATTACTTACAAATACAAAAAGAACAAGCCAGCTCGCGATTGAATCCGTCAGTCATCACAACCAAGGGAATTATACATGCCTCGTTAAAAATCAAGCGGGTGCTATAAACCACACGGCCGAGTTATATGTAAACGGTATCAACATTTAATTGCTATTTTTTCATTCATATTTTAATTTATCCTATCCCCTGCAGTCCCCCCGCAAATAAAACCCTTTGATTTTGGCGAAGAACCGATAAATGCTCAAGAAATGGTTTTGGTCACGTGCACTGTAAATAAGGGCGATCAACCGTTAATTATCGAATGGTATTTCAACGGGAATAAAGTTAAATCTGGCGACACTGGAATCAGTCTCATGAATACGAAGCGTTCCAGTCAACTGAGTATGGAATCGGTTAGCCATAAAAATCAAGGAAATTACACGTGTGTAGTGAAAAATGAAGCTGGATCGGTGAATTACACTGCTCCACTGTTTGTAAACGGTACATCTTTACAAAATCCTTAGCTTAGAGTCTCCGTAGAAACTAAATATTTTTGTGTAACCATTTTAATTTCAACATATCCTACCTTTCCCTGTAACTTTGGCGGGTCATAAAAATAAATACAGGTTAGTGGTGAGTTTAGTAAGTTGTTGTATTAAAATACAAACTTACGAGTACAACAGAATGTGGTAACATTAATTTCAGTCGCACCAATTATTACCCCTTTTGAATTTGACGAATCCGTTTTCTTTGGTGAGGGAGTTCAAGTAACGTGCCACGTTCCAAAAGGAGACAAACCTCTGACTTTCAAATGGAGCTTCAACGGAGGAGATGTGAGTTTGCTCCCTGGATTGAATATTATGAATGTTGGGGACATGGGCTCAGCTCTCATTATACCCACTGTGACGGCCAAACATTCCGGCAATTACACGTGCACTGCCTCCAATATTGTTGCCAGTGCTAGTCACCACGCAACACTCAATGTCAAGGGTATACGTTCACTGTAAATTAAATATGCTTTTCGTGTTTAGTTTTTATCCCACTTTCCCTTTGGTATACGAATGTCTCACTCACGTATGATTTGTTTATAATTATCTCTTGCAGTGGCACCAATAATATCCCCATTTGAATTTGATGAAGCTGTATTTTACGGAGAAAGCATTCAAGTAATGTGCCATATTCCTAAAGGCGATATGCCATTAACTCTTAAATGGTCATTCCGCGATCGTCCTTTAGAACGCTTCGACGCTGTAACAATCACAAAAATAGGAGCTCGATCTTCAATATTGGCTATCCCTTCTGTGACCGAGAAACACTCAGGAAATTATACGTGCACAGCATCGAATACTGTAGCAAGCACTAACCACACAGCTACTTTGAATGTTCAGGGTACACTTGATATTATCTGATATTGTACGAACTTATTCATTTTGTTTTTGTTTGTTTTTTATTTCCCTCATCAGTACCTCCACACATCGTCCCATTTGAGGCTGAAGAGCCAGTATTTGCTGGAGAATCAATGCAATTGACCTGTCACATTTCCAAAGGAGATGCGCCTATTGCTATTACTTGGAGTTTCCATGGAAAAGATTTGTCCTCTCATCAAGGGATCTCCACAATGAAGATTGGCGAGCGGACGTCGCTATTAACGATATCTAGTGCGAGCGCCAGTCACAGCGGCGAATATTCATGTCACGCGGGCAATCGAGCCGGTCTAGCTATCCATTCAACCACGGTCAATGTACACGGTATCTCCCGCACTCTGAACCTTCCTTGCCTACGCCGCAGCACGCTCCACGCTTTCCATAATAATCATTTGGGCTTTCTAAATTAACAGTACTGCCACACATCGTACCCTTTGAGGCGGATGAGTCTGTGTTTGCTGGAGAATCGGTGCAACTGACCTGTCACGTCTCCAAGGGTGACCTGCCTCTTGATATCAAGTGGCACTTCCATGGGTTTGAAAATGAATCATCGCATCTGGGAATAATGACGACTAAAATGACATCCCGCTCCTCATTTCTTTCGATCGCTTCGGTAACCGCCAGCCACAGTGGCAACTATACCTGCGTAGCTACGAACAAAGCTGGCTCTACTAATTATTCCACTGTTATTAACGTTCGTGGTTAGTTTTATTTTATAGCGCTTTAAACTTGTTCACGACGTTTATCGCTACGGCTTTTAATTGATATGTTAATCTCATAAGCATGGGCTCCTATAACACACATATATATATATATTATGACGTTTCATATAAACAGGTGTTATCTTGTTTTCCACTTACCCTTCCTTCTCCTTTTGCATATTGTTTGCCCTTAGCGCCTTTTAAGTATACTGCCGACAACACATTTGTAAAGCCGATCATTCCTAATACACATTATACGACAAATCTACCTATATAATATTATTTCGTACTAAGATATAATAATTAGAATCCAACTGTTTTCATATTGTACAAGTTATAAATCTTAAAATGACAATTCATATATTTTTTTATTATCGAGTTTTCCTTAAAGATTACAAACGTTAAACGTTGCAATGTCTGTGAAATTCGAAAATAACTTGAAATTTGGACATGGCAATACGCGTTAGGCCTTACAGCGTAATAAAAATATATTATATGTTATTAAAATTTCTGTATGTATAGTTCTTCCTCACATCAAGCCATTTGAATTGGACGAGGCGGTATTTGCGGGAGAAACCGTACATCTGGACTGTTACGTGTCCAAAGGCGACACTCCTTTAAGTATAACTTGGAGTTTCGAAGGCAAACCTGTAACGCAAAAAATGGGAATTAAAACGACTAAGCCTAGTGAACGTGTTTCTACATTGGACATACCTAGCGCTTTGGGTTCTAACAGTGGCAACTATACGTGTACGGCAACAAATAGAGCGGGAACTGCGAACCACACGGCGACCCTGAACATCATCGGTACATTGATGTATTTTTCCTGCGTTTATATATCTAATCCCCGCGTTGCTTGCTTGTTGTTAAACAAAAACCTTACATATTATAGACTCAGTTTTCCATTTTAGCAATGGCACTATTTCCAAAATACCAATGCTTTATTTTTTTATAAATAGATCCTAACCTAAGACATAAAGAGGTCAATGCTTTCGAATTTAGCGGCTTCAAATAAAGACAACTTTAAAATATCATTACAGAAATACCTATCAGCAATTAGGTTTCCGGCGTTGTTTAATTGAATATTACTACAATTTTTTTACGTGGAGTTGTTTTTAGTAGAGCATATTTCAGTACCACTACTACTAATCTTTTCCGATTCTTAAGTAATTCTAATACAAAAATTGTTATGGCTGGTGACCGAAATATTAATACCCTGTTAAATAATAAAACATCAAATTAATTAAAGATGTTACATTAATTTTTTAATTTAATTAACTAGTTTCATATGAACATGTAACTTCTGTCAAGGTGCAAGTATAAGGTATATAGACTGCCCGACAAAAAGCTGTCAAACACTTTTGTCAGGCCTGTAAAAAGTAAGTCGTAAAATGATTATTTCATGTCAGCATTGATACTTATGTACTGTGACACACCGATTGTCTGTAACATATATACCGATGTATCGATTTCAATTTCGAGGGTCCTTAGGCTTTACTTCTTTCAAAGTTACCCGATCCCAGCACTGTTCCGATAGAATTACTAGAGTCACAAGTAACTAGTAATTCTGTTGAATGTTTGAATTGATTAAATCGATTGAAGCATTAAAAATTTTACATTACAAAAATGGAATATCCAATAGGAAAATTTCGAAATGGGAGGATATGGGACCTACAATAAGAATCGCATCTTATTTGGGAATGAGGCTAGTTGTTGCCGCGATAAAAACATATTGTATCTGTGAGATACATAGTGAGAAACAATATTTATACGGCTATTTTACTATTATTTATTTAAACTCTAAACATTATTAATATTCATAACTTTTTTCTTCATTAAATAACTTCTAGAAAAAGCCAGAAGATTTAAATCGATCCTGAGTGATATAAATTCTACGATATTAATTACATAAGTTGCGTTATATTTTATTTAGTTACTCCTCAAATAATGCCATTCGATTTTGGCACGGAGCCAGTAAACGATCAAGAAATGGTAGTAGTTATCTGCACGGCTAGCAAAGGCGATTCCCCGTTCGATATACAATGGTATTTTAATGGACAAGTGATTAAATCTGGCGTCAGCGGCATTGTGCTCACGAACACGAAGCGAACCAGTCAACTGACTATAGAATCAGTCAGTCACCATAACCAGGGAAACTACACGTGTCTTGTAAAAAATCAAGCCGGTGCTATAAACCATACTGCTGAACTATATGTGAACGGTACACGTTTCTTACTATTTTGTATTTCTATTTTATTTGTTCATCTCTCCTGCAGTCCCTCCGCAAATTAATTCCTTCGAATTCAGCGAAGAACCCGTAAATGCCCAAGAAATGGTTTTGGTTACGTGCACTGTAAGTAAAGGTGATCAGCCGTTAGATATAGAATGGTATTTCAACGAGAAAAAAGTACAATCTGGTGCTCTTGGCGTAAATCTTTTAAATACGAAACGCACAAGTCAACTCAGCATTGAATCCGTAAACCATCAAAACCAAGGCAATTACACATGTGTTGTAAAAAATCAGGCAGGCTCGGTGAACCACACAACTCAACTATTTGTAAACGGTACACACTTAAAAATATTCTTCAGCTTATATTCAAAGTAGAATGTGTGTATTTTTTAATTCTTTTAATTTGTCCTACCTTTATCCTAAAGACTACAAAATACGTACTTTGCATTAAAACATCTACTTATGTACCTATGCGTAAAGCGTGTTTTTTTCCAAGCGATCGTGAAAAAAACATGGTAAAAGAATATCATAACCTAAATTAAAAATTTTAAAACTCCCCAAACATAAAGGGCTGACGATCTTCAAATGTCTGAAAAGATTTTCTTGAATCATAACTGAAAACACTCTAGATCAAGTCATCTTTTGAAAAAACAAACAAATTATCTAAATCGGTTCATCCATATATATCCGTGGCTACGATGCCACAGACCACACAGATACACACGTTAAACATAGATCTCTCTTTTTTGTCGGGGGTTAAAAATAACAACTAGGTACTTGCACTTGTTGTAATCCTAGTCTATGTGAAATAAAGAGCCCAATCATTATAAAGCATTATAAAAGTTCTTCGAAGTAATATAAAGTGAGTTTTTAGAAAACTATTTTTTTTATTAATGACCGATTTTTGCAGTGGCACCAATGATATCTCCTTTTGAAATTGATCAAGCGGTATTTTACGGAGAGAGTATACAAGTTTTATGCCATATAACGAAAGGCGATATGCCCTTGTCCCTTAAATGGTTCTTTCGTGATCGACCCGTGGAAAACTTTGAAGGAGTAAAAATATCTAAAGTAGGGGACAGGTCTTCAATATTGGCTATCCCATCAGTCACTGAAAGACATTCTGGCAATTATACTTGCACAGCTTCTAACACCGTAGCAAGCACTCACCACACAGCGACATTGAATGTGCAGGGTACACATTAGATTCTATATATAATATTGAGTACTATAATTGCTTGTTTTGTTTATGTTTTTAATTTTTCCTACTAGTATCACCACACATTGTCCCGTTAATGGCCGATAAACCAGTATTTGAAGAAGAATTAACGCAATTGATGGATCACATATCAAAGGCGATGCACCTTTGATTATCGTGTGGAGTTATCATGGGAAATATTTATCCCTTCACCAAGGCGTCTTCACAATAAAGATTGGCGAAGGAACCTCTGTGCTAACAATTTCCATGTGGTCTTGTAATACACTCAAATTAGACTTTGTAACGTTTTACTCAATTTGTGCTTGTTTACACCTCTTATGACGCTCAAAATCAACATTGTTCAGTGTTGTAGCCTCCGTCGCAGGGTATCCTCCGTGATTCTAAATCTCCTTGCCTATGCATAAATTTGCTGCACGCTTGCATAAATAATTTGGGCTTTCTAAATTAACAGTACTGCCATACATCGTACCCTTTGAGGCGGATGAGTCTGTATTTGCTGGGGAAACCGTTCAACTCAACTGTCACGTCTCCAAGGGTGACCTGCCTCTTGATATCAAGTGGCACTTCCATGGGTTTGAAAATACGACATCGCATCTGGGAATAATGACAACTAAAATGACTTCACGTACCTCGTTTCTTTCTATCGCCGCGGCAACCGCCAGCCACAGTGGCAATTATACCTGCGTAGCTACGAACAGTGCTGGCTCCACTAATCATTCCACTGTCCTAAACGTTCATGGTCAGTTTCTTTTATTCATGCTTGAAACAAAATATTTTGAGCTGTTTATTGCAAACAATATGTTATTTGAATCAGCATGAGTTCGTTAACATATTTGTAAGCAGCATACCCTGTTTAATTATTTATTCCGATATTTTTTGTTTATTCCTTCTTTAATGTCATTGTTTTGGTTTAACACAACTACACGGACAAAGATTATCACGAGAATTAGCAACTTTCTCTCAAAGTAGGCGAAGATAATTTGTGCAAGTGCTAAAAATCGCGCGGGAATTACGTTTTACACTTCAATACAGAAAATAATCACTATTAAACAAAATGTACTAAAAAAATACAAGCTGTATATTTTTCACATTTTTAAATCAATGCTTTTTTCTGTTCCGTTTTAAGTGGTTCCATATATTATTCCGTTCGAAGTTGAAGAGTCCATCTTTGCTGGCGAGTCAATACATCTAACTTGTCATGTATCAAAAGGAGACCGTCCACTTCAAATATCGTGGAGTTTTCAAGGACAAGAAATACCTTATCATAATAATATGGGCATAACTACAACGAAGTTAGGAGAAAAAGCGTCAGTCCTTAGTGTGCCCACGGCAATGGGGCAACACAGCGGCAACTACACATGTACCGCAAGTAATAGTGCTGGGCGCGCACATCACTCAGTAATCGTCAACATCCATGGTTCGACAGTGCTCCCTTCTATATTCGACATTACTTTTTGTATAGTACAATGAATGTCATAGAGTATGCACGTTTAGATTTATTCTTAGATTCTCTTTTTTCTTATTTAATCAGTTCCTCCCCATATAATGCCATTCGAAATCGACGAGTCCGTATTTTATGGCGAATCTGTACAAATGACTTGCCATGTCAGCAAAGGAGACCGTCCGCTAGCAATAACGTGGACGTTTGAAGGTCAAGACCTGTCTAACCACGCCGGTATCAGGACAGTGAAGATGGCGGAACAGACATCCTTTTTGTCTATTGACTCCATTACCGGAGGTCACAGTGGCAATTATACTTGCATTGCGAAAAACAGGGCAGGGGAAGACAGATATTCCACTTCTCTTCGCGTAAATGGTATCTTTGATTGAATATTCCAGCATGCAACAAATTATATATACATTACTAATATTCGCAAATTTTCTTTGCCCAGTCATTCCCCACATCAAACCATTTGAGTTGGACGAAGCCGTATTTGCGGGAGAGCCTGTACATCTTGATTGTCATGTGTCCAAAGGTGACATTCCGTTAAACATTATATGGAGCTTCGAAGGCAAACCCGTGTCACATGGAATGGGTGTGAAGACAATGACGCTTAGTGATCGCGTTTCTGTACTAGACATTTCAAGCGCTATGGACACCAACAGTGGCAACTACACGTGCACGGCGACCAACAAAGCGGGCACAGCAAACCATACGGCCGTGCTTAACGTGATCGGTATAAAACCTATTGACCCGCGTGACGCTTGCTTTCTGTTTAGTTCCTCCTGTGGTCCAACCCTTCTTGTTCGGGGAAGTTATGAATTCCGGCCAAGTCGTAACCGCTCCATGTTCGGTCATCGAGGGGGATCACCCGCTTCATCTACGGTGGCTATTTGACGACGAACCTATAAAACCAAGGTCCGGAGTCACCGTTTTTAATATCGGAGAAAGAAGCGCTATCCTTAGTATTGGTTCCGTGTCAGACAAGCACGCTGGAAACTACACTTGCGTAGCAGAGAATGAAGCAGGGACACATTCGCACACTTCAACTTTAATCATTAATGGTGCTTAATATCGCGATTTTGTATAATTTTTCCATTTATTTTACCAATTTTAGTATCGTCTTGTTATGTACGTTTTTCATTGTTTTATATTTCGATAAAAGCCCATCAGACTAATAAATTCCAGTCCCTCCAAACATTCTGCCGTTCACTTTCGGCGAAAAGCCTGCCAATGTCGGAGAATATTTACAAGCGGCGTGTACCATAAATTTTGGAGATCTTCCTCTTACCATCACCTGGATGTTTAATGGAAAAATTATATCGCTAAGAAATACGGATTATACCATAACCAATTCTAAGCGAAGTAGTTTACTAATAATCGAGTCTGTTGACGCAAAACATGCTGGTTCCTATACATGCGTCGGTGAAAACCGCGCGGGGCGCACTACCCACTCAGCTGATTTAATTGTTTACGGTTAGTTATTAATTTATCCCGCCTATTTTTTTTGGTCATTTAGATAACAAGTTTTAGTTCCTCCCACGATAAAACCTTCCGTCACCGAACAAAAACATTTGTGAAAAAATCTTAAAAACTTTTAAAATGTCTTCCAAGGTTGCGGTCTCGTAAAAGTATAATAATGGTACCTAAGTTAAAGTTAGTTCATATACGTCCTATATTCGTTACTTACGTTACTTCATATATTCCCTATATACTGCTCCCATTTAATCTCTTCTCGTGAAAATATGATATAACACTTGGTTATTTTTGCATTGTATTGAATCTTTTACATGTGTGATTTATTAAAGTAGCACAATGTCGGAACATCGGGCGAAAAATAATTATTGCATTTAGGCTTATATCACCTACTGACGACTCCTTAACTCTTAAATACATAAAAAAACATAAATTTTTTGTTGTCCTAGTTCCACCATTGATAGTGCCATTCAGTTTCGGAGAGGTGCCTTCTAATCCCGGAGACGCCGTGGTTGTTAACTGTGTTGCTACTAAAGGAGATCTGCCGCTAGAAATATCTTGGACGTTTAGCAGTGAAACAATAGACTCGAGTCTGCATCGCGGCATCACTACGATGCCGCTAGGTCCACGAGCGTCAGTTCTTACCATCTACTCCCTGACTGCCAATCATCAAGGAAACTACACGTGTATCGTGCAAAACGCCGCTGGCCGCGCTGAGTACGCGGCGACACTCGTCGTAAATGGCACGTTTATTGAATATGTTGGAACGAATTAATAACAACGGGGACTAACATCACAGACCGTACACTTGAATAATTTAATCTGTTCAAATTCACTGCTCTTTTCTTCATCTACCTTCACTAGCACAAGCTAACATCACTTAACAGAAATCGATTTAATAACGTCATCTCTAATTGTTTCCAGTACTGCCTCGTATAGTTCCGTTTACATTTGAGACTCCACTATACGCGGGGCAGGCAAGTCAGGTTACTTGTCTAGTTTCGGAAGGCGATCAGCCTCTTGACATTCAATGGTATTTTGATGGGCGTCCTTTGAAAGAAAAAGCCGATGTAACGGCAACTAAAATAGCGCAAAGAGCTTCGCTGCTCCTTATCGACCCTGCTGGCTGGTCGCACAGCGGTTCATACATGTGTCTTGCGCGCAATGCCGCCGGCTTCTCCAATTATTCTACTTCATTAGAAGTACATGGTATAAATACCTCTTTATACCCTTTGTTCCTAGCACGGAAAAGCTTTGCATAGTTTCCATATTGTGTGCTTAAGTCGCGAAACTGTTTAGCTCTCCGTTAATACAAAATTAAGATATAATTTAGTATCATTTTTCAAATAATATACATAGGAAACCGGCTGCGGCTATAATCGACGAAACCATTTCTTCTCCCTCTCCTTGCATTTTAACGTCCAATGCCTTACCGTTTCCTTTGGTTCCTGTCTGTTAATTTGTTTATTTCTGTTATGCATCTTTTGCTTTGGGTTTTGCATGTTGCTCGCCTTCTGACTTTGCTGTTGGAATAATAATTCTATTTACTGTATTTCAGTAAGACGTGGAAGTAATAAATATATGGGTATTATTATTTCAACAAATTGTTATGAAAACAATTTTGTTTGCATACATGCTTTTTTATTTTTTATGTCCCATTACATTTGATTTTGTTGGTTTCACTCGCTTCAAACATTATTTTGCTATTAAATTATATGAATAAAAAAGCTTCTATAGCGGCAGCTTTAGCAAAAATTTGTAAATAATATATGTACGTTAACATTTTAATCTTTATAGAATCACATAAAACATAACTAGATATATCCGTACGTTACAGGAGCTTTTTTTGTCTAGAGCTGAACTAGAATTGAAATGCAAAATCGATTTTATTGTTATTCACTTACACCTAGCAGTCAAAGCATAGTTCTAGCAAATTTCTACATTAGATTTAGTTGTATTCACTATTTTTATTACACATTTTACCAGAATCACGATAGAGCAATTTAGATTCTAGTTCGGCCTCCTGATGAATGTGTTTTATACTATTTAAAAATAATATCGTTCACTTAAAGATTAAATTAAATTTTTTGACCACATGTTCCAATCACACTTAAAGTTGATTACTTAACATTTGGTGGCAGGCGTCGTCACTGTTATATAACGTTATTTATTTGCAAAACAAACAGTTTAATTTCTCAAACAAATCAATTATATTCATCAAAAATTATATTAGAATAAAAATGCCTAATAGAAGAGTTACTAAAGAAAATATTTTTCGTACAACGCCTGTCATGAAATTTTCTTAAGAAATTGAAATTAGTATTTCTTTAAGGACACATAATTTGCTAAATTTTGGCATTAATTGTTTTTAAAATTCAAGAAATAAAGTTTCCTTAAACGCTTTAAGGACCGTGACAAAATGCTAATTACCTGGTAATATTTTAGTTCCTCCACGTTGGATTATTGAGCCCACTGATAAAGCTTTTGCGCAAGGGTCTGATGCCAAAGTAGAATGTAAGGCCGATGGCTTCCCTAAGCCCCAAGTGACGTGGAAGAGGGCTGAAGGTATGTATAAATATATTTAATGATAATTAAAAGATATTTCTTTTATATATGTAATGAATATAAAAAATTCAAATAAAATAACTTTTAGGTGACACGCCTGGTGATTACAAAGATCTTAAACCCAATAATCCTAATGTTAAAGTCGAAGATGGAACATTAACTATTAATAATATTCAAAAGACTAACGAAGGATACTATCTCTGCGAAGCTGTTAATGGAATTGGATCTGGTTTATCTGCCGTGATTATTATCAGTGTACAGGGTAAATATCAAATAAATTTTATTGCTAGAAAAAAAAATCTTAATTTATATTAAATGGAAATATTAAATTTATAGCACCACCACAATTCGAAATTAAAATGAGAAATCAGACCGCACGCCGAAGTGAGCCAGCCGTACTGCAGTGCCAAGCTAAGGGTGAAAAGGTATTATACAATTTTTCGCACGCGCTTTTATAACTTAATTTTTTACATACTAATAATTAAAATTATTTTAAATGTTACAGCCTATTGGAATTATCTGGAACATGAACAATAAACGCCTTGAACCTAAATCGGACCCCCGTTACACAATTCGTGAAGAGATTTTGCCCGGAGGTGTAGTTTCTGATCTAAGTATCAGACGTACTGAACGGTCTGATAGCGCCCTGTTCACTTGCGTTGCGACAAATGCTTTCGGATCTGACGACACTAGCATCAATATGATCATCCAAGGTAATTTATATATTTATAAATCTATACATAAATATAGATAAAATTGACATGTTTAGGGGTTATGAGCATGCTTTTTAGACATGAATAAGTAATCATTTTTAAAAAATTGTCTGTCTGTCCGTTCATTCGAGCTAATCTTTGAATTGGCTGAACCGATTGTGATGAAATTTCAAGAAACATATAAAGAGCAATGCCAGGAGTGATACAATATATATTTTATTCGACAAACGAGGATATTTTTGTAAAATCGTAAATGTTATTATTATTAATTATTACAGTTATATAAACTTTGAAATAATTTTTTTTTGGTTTGCAATTTCACACGAGGAAGATCTTCACACTTTTTATCTTCTATCGCTTACAGTTTAGATGCAAAACATTGTTTTAACAAATTTCTTCTTGACTCTACTTTTCAACAAAACTACGAGTGTTAAGAAGATATTCAAGCTGTTTTTACTATGCACCAATGTATTTCTCTTCTTCATCCTAGATAATGAATTCTACCAATATCCTTCTAAAATCAATATTAAAAATAATCAACCAAACTTAACGCAAATAAAAATAAAAACCGCCAACACACCTCCTATTTTGTTCTAGGAATAATATTCTAATCGGTACAGTTTTTAGGAAGGATTCAGGGAAGTAGAAATGATGATTTTGTCAATTATTCATAGGTCGTCTATTCAGTTCGAGCTGCAGTTGTCTCTTTCGGATGCCTAGCTTAGTCTTTCGGGCGCAGCGCGACGGCAATAGATCGTTACAAAAACAATTCTTTACTTGCAACTCGGATATCCTATTAAAGGATTAAGTGATAACACCTTTGTACATAAATTAACAGAACTCCACTGAAATCCATTCCGTGATCAAAATATTTTAATCATGACATAAATATTTAACGGTAAAACAACATTCAGTTGGTTTCATTTAACACATAACAAATAACGCCTATTTTCAGAGGTACCTGAAGCCCCATATGGCTTAAAAGTTCTTGACAAATCTGGAAGGACCGTCCAACTGTCCTGGGCTGCGCCATATGACGGAAACTCGCCAATCAAAAAGTTCCTTATTGAATATAAACGAGCTAAGGGCAATTGGGAAAAGGACATCGACAGGTATGTACACTCTTTTCTATTTAAGATATAATTTAACTAGACGGAATTCTAAACCGATTTTAGCAAATTTTTGAAAGGCTCTTCACACTAGTCTAAAATGTCTGATCTGATTTAAGTTAGAGCTGATTATGTGAGTCTTCAGAAGGCGATTTGTCACGCTTCTGTACTAGATTAATTTTTAATTGAGTAGTTTCTCGAATATCATTTGTTTTAGATTACCCTCAGTAATAAAGTATATTATATTTGAAGGAAAATCAATTATTGTTTTCCTTTAAATTATACTAATATTTAGTAAAAAGGCCATAACTTACATACTGATTGTTATTGCAGAGTGCTTGTACCCGGCGATGCCACAGAAGCCGGTGTATTCAGTCTCCGCCCTGCCACCGCCTACCACATCAGGATTGTCGCCGAGAATGAACTTGGCACCTCTGAGCCATCGGAAACAGTCACTATTATTACCGCCGAAGAAGCACCCACCGGCATGCCTCAGGATGTCAAAGTCGACGCTGTTGACAAACACACACTAAGAGTTACATGGAAGCCACCTCAACCACAGGACTGGAATGGCGAACTCCAAGGGTAAGATTTTCTTTAGCAATGAATTTGACAAATAAGTATTTTAAGACATTTTAACAATAAGGTATGTAATAATAGGAATAAGGATGGCGGTGTAAATTCTTCGTAAGAGAATCCATCGCCCCATATTGTCTCGTACCTCATGGCTACTGAGAAAATCATCTGCTATATACCAGATGTAAAATACCTTAATCAAACCAGCAGTGTCAAAGTTGCGGGCTGGAGCGGACCATGACCAGCAAAGGGCTGATAAAGAAATAATAAATTTAATAATAACTTCTTCTGCTGCTTCTCTCTGGCAACATTATTTTTATGATTAATTGTTTATATTTTTGCAGGTACTATGTTGGCTACAAACTGGCTTCCAGTAACAAATCTTTCGTATTTGAAACTGTCGATATTTCTAAGGAATCTGGAAAAGAACACCATCTTGACATTTTGAATCTGAAGTAAGTTTGAAATACAACTATATTAGATTTGAGTTTAAAATTAAATTTTACCAATTTATTTTGCATACCGGATTATTGTTTTTAAAGCAAATATAAAATTCAAATATCTTTTATGATCAAATTCTATAATTTATATACCTATGTTATGGAATATTTAGCACTTTTTAGCTACTTCCGGTCTTTAACTTTCCCCATAAAACTATAAATCTGACAAATTCATAGCGATATGGACATTAACTGTTATAATTTGCTAAGGTATCTCAGTAAATCTGTGGTATCCGACTATCACACTATTTCAAGCCGGCTCACCGCCTGCAACTTTACAAGGCGCAGGTTCGGCCGCACATGGAATACTGTATTCCCATCTCTGGGCTGGGGCTCTCCAGTGCCAGTTTCTTCCATTTCGTCTCATCAAGCGCAGAGCTGTTTGAATTATCGGCAACCGAGCTCTTTCCGATCGGCTTGACTTACTGGCACTGCGATGAGGGATACCACGGGGAGTCCATGCCGGATGTGCGGTTTACGCAGCTCTCGGTTCGCAGAGCAGTCCTCTCCCTGGATGTCAATAAGTCGAATGGGCCTGATGGGGTCTCTCCCATTGTGTTGAAGACGTGTACTTCCTAGTTGGCACCGGTTTTATCGCGTTTTTCTCGATACTCCTACTAGGTGTAATCCGAAATTCATGGAAGGTCCACCCGATCCGTAAAAAAACGTGACCGCTCAGATCCGTCTAACTACAGGTCCATCGCTGTCACCTCCTTGTTCTCCAAAATAACGAAATCCATTATAAACTGCCAGCTCATGAGGTACTTTGAGGATTACCAGCTGATTAGTGGCCGCCAATACGGTTTTCGTCGGAGTCGATCAGGTGGTGACCTTATAGTCTACCTGATAAACAGATGGGCAACAAATAGGTTCCAAGAGGGAGGCATTGGCCGTTAGTTTGGACATAGCTAGTGTCTTCGATCGGGTTTGATACAAAGCGCTTCTTCCGAAGCTTCCTTTCTATGGGCTTTCCATAGAAAAGAAGCTTCGAAAGAAGATTCCTTTCAAGAAATTCTGCAATTGAATCACCAGTTTTCATACTGATCGGAGCATGAAGATCGTAGTAGACCACCCGGGCGGGAGTCGACGACCGGCGGACGTGACCGCTCGTTGGCGCGGTCCGGACGAGACTCTCCCCCTAGTGTTGCAGTTTCCTGCTAGCCCCCAGTAGTCGTTTACCGTCAAGTGAGCCGCATGCTCGTTTGCCTCCTCTTCTATACAAAAATGCTCTCTTTATTCCCTCACTCTCATAGTCCGATAGGACGGTAATTTGACACATTCGGAAAGAGATTAGGCGCAAGACCTTACCTGCTTTTTGCGGCACAAAGGTAAATGAAACACTGCTAAATGACTCCGGTTTGCTAATGAGAATAGATAAGTTACATTATTGTTTTTGCCCTAAATTTATACATAAATGAAAGAATAATTCATTTCATGAATATTCAAGTTTTTTTTATTAACAATTCTATTTTTTAAGTAATTATTTATAAGAAATAATTTAATTTTTGAATAAAAAAAAACGATCAACGAGACATTAAGAAGTGCACATAATATGTTTGCGCACACTTGTTTGGCGCAGATGGCTACTCTCCGTTTAAAGTGGCCGCCGTGATTGATTGGTGCGGAGGAGAAAGTATTATTATGAATGAACGTAGTAATGGATGCGTAACAAATGTGTGTTTAGGACGTACACGCAGTACGCGATCGTGGTGCAGGCGTTCAACAAGGTGGGGTCGGGGCCGGTGTCGGGCGAGGTGCGCGCGTACACGGCGGAGGGCGCGCCCACCGCGCCGCCGCAGGACGTGCTGTGCACCACGCTCACCGCGCAGACCATCCGCGTCTCCTGGCTGTCGCCGCCGCTCGCCGCCGCCAACGGACTCATCAAGGGCTACAAGGTCATCTACGGGCCCAGCGACACCTGGTACGGTGAGTATTGCACCACGCTCACCGCGCAGACCATCCGCGACTCTTGACTGTCGCCGCCGCTCACCGTCGCCAACGCACTCATCAAGGGCTACAAGGTCATCTACGGGCCCAGCGACACCTGGTACGGTGAGTACCAACCAGAACAACTAAACTCACAGCCCATAGACGTAAGGCGATGAAGCTTTCGTACTGCACAGTACACATGTCTTCGAAATATTTTGAAAACCAGACATGCAGAGTAATTTGTAATTTTAGATGTCGATTCAGTTTGATTTTTGTTAATCAATACTTAAAATTGTAATTAATAATTTTGGGTCGGAGGGTATTGAAGGCGGGTTACCGCTTACTGTGAAACTTACACTAGCTACCACGATTCGCACCGGTAAGGAGAGTAACGCCTTTGCATTTTTGTACGTGTTAGAGCACCGCTACGGAACGAAAAAATCAGACTGATAAAGAGCGCTTAAAGCGCGTCAGCATTGCTGTCATGAAATTTCTTATTAATTTTGAAAGAAACACCCAAAAATTAAACATCTTATCGTGATTATAATGTCTTTCATCATAATCACCACTCCTGTCTAATAACCCTTACTATTTCTATCATATTTTTTCCTATAGATGAAAAGTCAAAGGACACGAAGATCACGGCTAGCAGCGAGACTATTCTCCATGGACTGAAGAAGTTCACCAACTACTCGATGGAAGTACTGGCCACCACAAACGGAGGCGACGGCGTACGCTCAGCTCCTATCCACTGCCAGACTGAACAAGACGGTAAGAAATTAATATTTTTGATAATATATACATATATATATATATATATATATATATATATATATATATATATATATATATATATATGTTATATAAAATTTGACTGCCTCGTTGGTCTAGTGGTTGTCGTAGTACGACTGCTGATCATGAGGTCCTGGGTTCGAATCCCGGGTCGGGACAAAAAATCAGTTACTGAGTTTTCTGTTATGAAATTCTCAGTAGTTGCCCGGAGTCAGGAAGTTGGCGGTGTCCCCGATTGGGGGTGACCCCGTGCCTCAGAAAGCACGTAAAGCCGTTGGTCCTGCGCCTGACCCCTCTCCGGTCGTGTCTGTTTATCGTCCCAACGGCTTCGCACCGGTGATATCTGGATTCAACAACAACGCACCTACCGGGTCCAACTATGCATATAACCTTCGCGAAAGTGCAAGCATTATGTCGACAAAGTTATATCGCAATGTGATGGCGGCGCATAAAATACGAACAAAAAAATTATCAACTGACTTCGAAAAAAAGGAGGAGGTTCTCAATTCGTCTCTATTTTTTATGTGTGTTACAAAATAATGTGGTCCCATATAAGTTTGATCAAGATTTGACCAGAGATCTGACTCAATTTTGAGTTTACCCTAATAATACATATTTCATTGACTTTTACTATATTGATGATGTTTTCATTTTGTTTATATTGAAGTCGGTTTTACAAAATATTTAATTTTACCACTTGTGCAATATGTAATTGGTTTCTCATAAAAGTCTCTAACGGAAACTCTGTATTTAGGTCATCTTTTACTTTGCATGTTTAGATAGGTGTCTAATATACGTGAATAATATTTTTAATTACATTACAATATATTTTTAACTGAATTACTTATTTATAGTTCCTGAAGCCCCGCGCGCCGTAAAAGCTGTAGTGATGGGACCTGACTCTATTCTCGTCTCTTGGAGGCCTCCAGCGCAGCCTAACGGTGTTGTCACTCACTACAATGTCTACACGCAAGCTCAGAACACCGAACCTCATCCCAATAAGGTAACAGAGTCCTGAATGACAAACACCTTGGCCATGAACTTGTAAGGCCTCATTACAAAACGTAGTTTATTGATAGTCTCGGCCTTAAACTATGGTTAAAAAAGAGTCACGAAAAAAGTCGCTCAACTGCATCGCTAGAGTCTTCGCGAAGTCAAATTCCATACTTTACATTATATTTCACTTATTTTCTTCTTCTTGACTCTAGTTTAAAACTAAGACAAATTATTAACTACTTTTTGTAATAAGGCGGATAAAGTATAATTAAATATAGTTTCCCGGCGATGCTCGCCGTCCGTTGCAATTAAATCATTGTACAGTCCAAGAGTGACGGATTATGGACAGATTAAGTTTGTTAAGGTGTTACCCCTAGCGAACGACCTTGAGCGTTCGGTCCTATACAATACACACGCTCTCGCTACAATATATCGCGTAAGAAATACGCCCAAATTTTGTAATTATCTCAATTGAAAAAGAAAAGTGAACTTAAATTAAATAAAACGTGAATAATACACATTTTTAAATTATCTATCCATTAGTGTAATTCTCAAATGATTAGAGCGTTGCCTTTAACTAATGTTAATGTAAAAAAAAATGTAATCATTAATTTTAGTCATGGTTTTAAAAGTTGATTTTATAAGTATTTATAATACATAAAAACAAATTAGAACATGGAATCTAATGATAGGATATCTAACATTAATAATGTACTTTTAGATGTAGTTTATTTCTCATAACTAATGAGATAATAGTCTCTGAAAAACGCACTATCGCAAGGTTTTGGTCGGGGTATCGCCTTAACAGCGAGTCTGTTAGCAGCCGCATTCGAGAATTAGAAGAGGCTTGCACCGGTCTTTAGGCTGTATATTTGCTGTTACTTATCTTTTTTACTTTTATTCCCTTTTTTTATTTTTATTCCCTTTTTTATAGATTATTACTAATACATCTTTAGTAATGTATCATTTACAGCATTTCCAACACATATTTGCACAAATATCAGTGTCAGTGGAAACAAAGCCGTGGTCAGAGTTTTTTTAGTTCAGTTATAACTACGTGATAAGCAAAAAAACTTTTAACCAGGTACCCGCTTCTCAAACAAGCTACTCGGCGACTGAACTGAAACCTGGCCGCTACGACTTCTGGGTCACGGCTTCCACCATAATCGGCGAAGGACAACCCTCAGCTACTGCCTCTTGCAGCCCCAATGACAAAGGTCAGCAAAATATAAAATATAATATAAATAATATAATAACATAATATACATACTTAGTTTAAAATAATCGATATCCGAAAATAAACCTAAATCATATTTGATTCATATTAATTTACGCATTAAAAATGATTTCTCGCGTTTGTAGATTTCTTTACTAACAATTATAAGTAACATGAAGTTGCGATCGCGATTATTACATATGATATTTCACACTATACGAAAAAAATAAATTGCAAGCTAATTGAAACACAATTGTCTTATTATCCATACCTTACCTTTCGAATAAGAAAAGTATTTGCAAAAAACTTAAGAGAAGTTAGTAGAAGAACCGGGCAGTTTTAATCCCATACAAACGTATTTCTCTGTTTGCTCCCGAGATAATGTCACTAGAGCAAATATTTTTACTATATAATGTTCATCTACCACTGCCTTAATTCAGTTTTTTTCTTTACTATTAATTTATTTATAAACTAGTAATCTTCTAAAACTGCTAAAACTGTCCTGTTTTACCGCCGCATCTAGCAAAAAAACAAACAAACAGAAATACACACAATCTTTTTTATATTGGTGTCAAAATCGGTCCAGTTTTGGAGGAGGAAACAGCGGATGATAATTTCATCTATTCTTCATTGATGTAATCATTCACAGCCCCAAAAAAATTTTTTTTTAAATTGAAATAAACAATTCAATATACGCTCATGTTTTTACTTACAGTTCCCGCTAAGATTGCTTCATTTGATGAATCGTTTACTGCCACTTATAAGGAAGACGTAAAGCTGCCCTGTCTCGCCGTCGGTGTGCCCGCTCCTAATATTGTGTGGAAGGTAAGCTGAAAAAGCTTATAAAATATGAATAAAATGTATAAATGTATGTACCACCCATACTGACACAATACGTTAATCGTTATCAGCCTCAGACCAACAAAAAAAGATACGTGGAGCGCTGCGTATAATTTAAGAGGCACCGATGCTGAGTCAAAATCATGCTCAACTTATTGAAAGAGCGAGCGCTTACGCACATACATGCATCTGACGTCCTTTGTAGCCAAACACATGATTTAGGAACATAATATACGTCGGTTCCACTGCTGTAGTGGAATTTGATGGGTTGTTAAAGAAAGAAAGAAAATATATGTGTGCGCGAGTGCGTGTCAAAAATCTGAGTTTGTTTCCGCAGTCACTTGAAGAGTAGTTAGAGTTCCGTATATCTTCTTCGTTGGTGTAAGGTAAGGCATACTACTAAAAGAAAATCAATCATTTCATTTCAATTCAATTTCAATGTGTGAAAGAGAATGAATGTATAAGCCCGCGACTACTATGTATACGAATGAAAATGGGCTTAAAGAAGTTGTTTGTGCTAGGGGTCTACGCCCCAGACATGTCTAAGTCCACTTATATCCGAGAGCAGTTTTGGAAAATGGTAAGGATGGAGTTAATGAAATGTAAGGGAAATGAAATATTGTTATGCTAGGAGATTTTAATGGAAGAGTTGGGGTAAAGAGGCTTAGTTATGAAAGGATATTGGGAACGTTTGGTGATAAAAGTATAAATGAGAAAACAAGGGTCTACCGCAAGTCCAACCTAGGGATGGATCATTACTTGGTTTTGTTGCAAATTAATGGTCTATTCATACGTTGGCGACAACATCTGTGTCCACCAATACGTTACAGCGTATTAGAACAGAGAGGTTACAAGATGGAGATGAGAAAAACAAGTACAAATATAGACTGAAAGAAAATATAAGAGGCTTGCATGAATTATGTATTAGACTTGGAGAATGTATGGCAAAGAGTTAAGAAAAGTTTAGTAGATGCAGCTACCGAAGTATATGGTGTAAGTAAGAAAACGTGTGGAAGTTGAAGCAAAGAAGTGAGCATGGCTAGATTTACTAGCAGCAAAGGCTGGTAATTCTGGCGGTACGAGTTATGATACTGAATGAAAAAAGGCAGTCTTTAGACATCTAAATAAGAGATTAAAAGAAGTAGTTGAAAGGAAAAAGCAAGAAAGAATGGATAAAAATGATAGAAGAATATCAGATAACGTCCAGGCAAATATTAAAATGTTCTGGAAACTCGTAAGAACTGCCAGGGGTCATTTAAAACAGCCTATAATGATATTAGAGACGAGAATGGCTGTATTCTGAATGATGAGGTTTTGAGTTTAAAAGCATGGAAGAAATATTTTGAAATCGTGGTTATGAGTTAGGAGACGACGTATAAACTTAATGAAATAGAAATTCCGAAAGAAGAGGAAAGAGTTAGGGAGATAAGTGTAGCTAAAATAATCAAAGCAATGAAAAGCATGAAAGCAGGTAAGGCAGCCGGATATGATAGAGTTTCACTCGAAATACTAAGAGCTGAAGAGGAAGTAGTGGCAGGCCTGCTGTACACCTTGTTTAATTTAGGATGGGAACTGTAGCGGGTACCGGCCGACTGGTGCAAAGCCGTGATAGTCCCAATCTATAAGGGAAAAAGGTCGCAGCAGGAATGTAAAAACTACGGCGGTATCAGCCATCTTAGCATTGTGGGAAAACTATGCTAAGGTACTAATTGAAAGGGTCATGAAAGAAACCGATGGAAAAATTTTGGATGTGCAAGCGGGATTTAGAAAGGGAACGGGATGTACAGATGATGTCTTTTCCATGTGCATGATCGCGGAGCAATTTTTAGCCAAAAACCAAAGAGTTTTTTGTGCGTTCATGGACTTAGAAATGGCTTATGGCAGAGTGGACAAGGATGTGTTATGGCAAATACTGAATTTCATTTCGGTTGAGCGCTGGGCTGATACAGGCATTAAAGCCTCTTTATAGGGACTCTAGTGCTTGTGTTAGGATCAATGGAGTCTACTCAGACTGGTTTGGCAACCATAAAGGTGTCAGACAGCGCTGTGTGGCTTCCTCGTGGCTGTTCAACCTATTTATGGACAGTTGTTTGCAAAATTTGAAAGTTGAAGAATGCGGGCTAAGAATGGGTGAGGTAACTGTCAAATGCCTTTTGTACGCCGATGATCAAGTTATATTTACGTAGTCGGCGGCCGAGTTGCAAATGAATGTTACAGTAATGAACATGTCCTTAAAAGAAAGGGGAATGAAAGTGAATGCAAGTAAAACGAAAGTTATGGTTTTTGAAAGAGAAAAAAGTAAAACGATATGTGAAATAAGAATAGAAGGGGAGTTGGTCGAGCAAGTAGTTTGTATATTTGTGATGTGTATTCAGCAGGGATGGGAGATATGATAAGGATAAAGAACGACGAGTGAACGCAGGAAATAAAGTAAATGGGGCTCTACATTCTATTATTAAAAGTCAGAATGTGTCAAAAAGGTACGTATGGCAATTCACAATGCTGTGTTGGTCCCTACTTTAACGTATGGTAGTGAAAGTTGGGTGTGGCAGAAGAAGCACGAGAGCAGAATAAATGCAGTAGAAATGCGGTCGTTAATGCTCCATGTTGGGGCTGAATCTAAGTGACAGGGTGAGAAATTGTGTGATAAAAGAAGAGTGTGGTTTGCAAGATGATACTGTGACCAGGATTAAGAAAGGAATGCTTCGGTGGTTTGGTCAGGTAGAAAGAATGAATGAGGAAAGAGTGACGAAGCAAATTTATGTTGCAGATGTGAATGGAAGAGTCGGAAAAGGACGTTCTAGGCGAAAGTTTATCGACCAAACTGGTGATATATTGAAAATGAACCAAATTAGGAGTACCCTTAACAGACGAATATGTATGCGTAGGTATATGACTGTATACATTCACAGCTGACATACCTCCTGTAGGAGGCGAGAGAGGTGTGTCAGGATCGTGCCAAATGGAAGCTTGTAGTCTCTGCCTACTCCTCTGGGTGACAGGCGTGAGTGTTTATGTTATGTAAAAGAAAAATTATGTTAAAATAAAAGTGAATGACGAAAAACATTTTTGTCAATCATGCCCTGCTGCCCGAGGGCTCGCTGCAGATCGTTTGTGAGCGTGTGTGAGTGCGGGCTAGGCATGTGATACGATATACGATGTGGGCACTGGGCAGGTCAAGGGGCAGGCGCTGGAGGCGTCGGAGCGCGTGCGGCAGCTGCCCGAGGGCTCGCTGCAGATCGCGGGCGTAGCGCGCGAGGACGCGGGCGAGTACTCGTGCCACGTCGACAACCAGTTCGGCACCGACACCGTCACGCACACGCTCTCCGTGCTCGGTCAGTCATGTGACTTATACATACATTCATTGCTTTTTTCCCCACATTTTTTTTGAGTCAATGTAGCAATCTATATACTATATAGTCTTGCGATTATTACATTATGATTATGTATGATATTAAGATTTATAAATTTGTTAATAATACTTATTAAAACTAATTTTTAGTAAAAACCTGTGGTTCAGAAAACACTTCTGCCCTACAAAAAACCAGTGAGGAACGCAGCGGCAGATTTCTTAATAGAATTACTATTATGTATTAAGTTGTATATTTTAGTTAATAATTGCTTGATAACGAACACTTTATATCTTTTCACATCGATAGATATTTTGATTGAATGAAAAACGACCAATTAATAATATTATTTACATTTTCTATAAATAATACATATATTACGCACGGTTTTATTTATTATAAGTTTATACACCTTTAAATCTACTGCATAATTTAAGAGCTTTAAAAGATTTGCTAGTACGGGAATGTCAGCGTTTTTGTTACTAAGTATAATATTATTATTTACCATTCAAATAACAATATATATGAAGGATATTTTATGTTTTATTTATTGATATTTATTTTCACTTTCAATTGTATAGTAATGATCATACCGAAACGTGATAAAAAGATACCTTCTTCCTATTTAATGTATCCGCTCTGGAGGTAATTAATTAATTATGTAAAGACGTATCGCCAAGCATTTCCGCTCATATCATTGTGTGTTTGCAGCCCCTCCATTCCCACCTCAACTGAGCATAGCCTCTTCGTCCGTGTCGTCCTTAACGCTGCGATTGAAGCCTTCTTTAGACGTGGATCAGTCGCCGGCCGCTGGATATACCATCCACTACAAGCAGGAATTCGGCGATTGGGAAACTGTGCAGGTAACAATTCCGTCTACTATAGCTACTACTAAAACAAAATTCTTTATGAGGTTTCAACTTTTTTTTATCAGATATTTTGTATAAAATTACTTTTAGTAAAGTTACAGTCTATAAATGTCTTCTGGGCACAGTCCTTTCTTCATTTCAGTTCTTAAGTCTTCACTTCACTTCATTAGTCCGACAGGTTGCTTCAGTATTCCTCAGACAAATCACCACTAAATCGACACTGAAATTTCAATTAAGAATTCCATTGGTGCCGGCGGAGATCGAGCCCGGGTTGGTCGCTTACAATTACTGTGAAATTTAAACCGAGCACTTAGCTCCTAAAACAGAGTAGTCGCGATGAAAGAATATCCACTACCTCCACATTATCCCGTGGGTGTCGTAAGAGGCGACAGAGGGAAACGAATCAGGAGATGGGTCTAAGCGTTTTCCTAATAACGGCAAACAATAAAAAACTGTGGTTGCCAAATTTTGTATAATATGGACTAATTTCTACAGAACAAGGCCCTTGGCCAAAAGCCCAAAGGCCTTGTGAAAAAATAACAAAACAAATCTTATACTGTTTTATTTTGCAAAATAAAAAATACTTTATTAAGTACTAATAAGTCACAGTGTTGGAAGTATAATATTATGAATTTTATTCCTACAGATTCCAAGCAACACCGACACTTACACTTTGGAGAACTTATTCTGTGGATCTAGATACCAACTGTACGTAACGGCTTATAATGGGTAAGTGTTATAATTTTCCACAAAGTAAAGCCTTATTTCTTATCTAAAACTAGTTTGTACCCGCAACTTCGTCCACGTAAAACTTATACAAAATAACTTGCAGCCATAGACTTATTATACTACTACGGACCGGGTCATTGAACAAACAAAATGGCACCAACTATTTGGTGCATGGAGGTTGGAGGGAAGGAAAACAATCGCTACGTGCTAAAGCATTAGCCCACTGTCCCTGAAAATTTGTAGAATTTATAGCCGCGCTGCCGTTAGATACTACTTACATCTGCGAAGTTAGCTGTTTATATGTTTATGTGTACAAGTAGATGAAGTTAGTTGAATAATGTACAGATGATGAAAAAATAATCGTGCTCCGTAATGTTTAAATTTTTGACAATAAGCAACATTAAAAAATGGTAAAAAAATATTTAAAAAATAATAATTAATAATTTATATTTGTAATAATTCATTATATAATAATTAAAATTATAATAAACATTATTTATATTTATTAATAAATAATAAATAATAATAATTTCGTTTTCTTTTTTTTCTTTGAAAGATATTATATACACGTATATTAAGGGGAAATATAACCTCAAATGGCTTAGCAAGATCCTCTGTTATACCGAAAATATTGCAGCATTAATTTTGAAATAATATATGGTAAAGTTGAGGATTAATGTTAAGTACTATGTTAGACGAAAACATGATTTTCTCGATAGAAAAAAAATCCAAAGTTACCTCCAAACTGAACAATAAACCGCTGTTATTCATAAAATACATTAAATAAGATCATGAAAATTTTCATACTAACTGAACTAACTATAAAGCAGGGCTTATGTTTTTTATTTATTTTTTAATTTCCATTATTTTCACTGTAAAAAGAAATTACCTAAACTATCGGCGTCCTGAAGTTTGGAACCGGGCGGCAGGAAACAAGCTTTGGTTTTTACGATAATTTAGGGAGTATTTCTACAGGTTTTAAGGTAAAAGCAAAATCATAAGAAAAAACATTGGTTCCGTGGTTCCATCTATTAAGTATTTATTTTATGCTTACACCGTGAAAAATTTTTGTTCACAAGACCATATCTTGTCATTTATATCGATGCTTGCAGCACTGTTGTTACACAATTGTGGACTTTGATCAAGTAGTTCAATTAATAAAAGACTTTAAACTAACTTTTATTTATTTCGAAAATTTTTATTCACATCATTTGTATACCTATCATATCGCTTAATCGTTTAACACTCATAGTTTATTGTATATTGGCATCCAAACTTTAATAGGTACCTATTCTTACAAAGTTTGAATGCATATACAATATTACAATATTGTTGCATGAATAAGTCAACTAGCGCCATCTAGTGTCAGGAACGAGAGCGAGGGGAGCATTGAGAAAATGACATCACAAATCGCTCAACTGACAGCGCCTAGTCGAAACTCGAACGCTCGATACCTTCCGCGTGTTTACTTGAACATTCTGGATATTTCTTTGCTAATTTAAATATATAGGCGCTGCAAGATGCGATGGGGGCAGTGTTGATTTGGGCGAAACAAGCGAAGCTTCGGAGTGGAATTAAGTGAATTAGTGTGTTTAAATTATTGGTGTTTTAACTTTAATTGTGTAAAGTAAATTAAAGTGTTAATTTAGGTAATTTTATCGGCAATTTTTATTGTCACGAACCTCAAGCTCGTAACAATTGGTGTCAGAAGTGGGATAAAATCATGCCGATTTTACCTAAGGAGGAAACGGAGGGTGTCCGTACCCGAAGTCAACGCCAGCAGGAGACGGACCAACGAAGATTTGGTGGTGCAACGCCGCAGACGACGGAGGGCCAGCCACCGGCTGCAGGCCCGTCGGTAGCTCCTACATCTGCAGCACCTGACTTAGGTGCTCTGATGGTGATGCTGCAGGAGCAGGCTCGCCGACAGGAGGAGCAGGCTCGCCGACAGGAGGAGCAGGCCCGTCAGTTGAAAGAGCAGCTGCAAAGCGGACAAGAGGAACAGGCCCGCCGGCAGGAGGAACAGGCCCGTCGTTTAGAAGAGCAACTCCAACGCGATAAGGAAGAGCAGATGCTCCTCATGAAGGACCTTCACGCTATCTTCGGAAAAGAGATACGGGAGGTGAAGGATAAGGTTGCTCAACATGACAACCGCCTGTCGGAGGCCGAAACCCGAATCGACCAAGTAAACAATCGGGTTGACAACGTAATGGCTGACGTGAAGAAAACGCTGGACGACCTCAAACTTGGGGATGGAACAACAGCTCCCGTAGTAGCTACAACACCTTCGCTACGTGGATTCAAAGTGCCGCCGTTCGACGGTACCTCTTCCTGGTCAGCCTACAAGATCCAGTTCGAGGCTGTTATGAAGGCGAACGGCTGGAATGAAAGTCAGGCCATGACTGCTCTCACACTAGGCCTGCGCGACCAGGCCTTAACAGTTCTGGAAGCTCTCGGTGAGGAAGTGACTTATGAGCAACTCATTGAGGCATTGGAGGCGAGGTATGGCGACGCTCACCTGGAACACGTCTTTCGTGCGCAGCTTAAAGATCGCGTGCAGCGCATCAACGAAAACCTGCAGCAGTGGGCTCTAGAGGTGGAGAAGCTGGTGCGAAAGGCATACCGGTCTGTACCTGCGCTCATTGGAGGGAACCTGGTGCAGACATTCATCGACGGCATCCGTGACCTGGAAGTCAGAGCTGCTGTGAGGCTCGGGCACCATGAGACGCTTAAGGACGCCTTGGCCCATGCACTGGAGGTAGAAGCCGTGCGGCAGGATCATCGTTCCCATCGCGTCAGGGAGGTTGCAGCAGCTACAGTTCGCGACCGCAACAAAGGATACAGCCCTAGGTGCTATGGCTGTGGGGAAAAGGGCCATCTTCGATCCAGCTGCCCTAAGCGAACCCTAGAAAGGGAAGGTGAACGATCCCAGGAGGGTAGTGCGGCCAACAGCACCGCCCAGCAGCAGCAGGGAAACGAGTAAAAGCCAGAACTGCGGGGCGGGTGCTGGCTGATGTTAAAAGAGCCCCAAGGATCTCGATCTCACAAACCCATGATGGGAACAGTCTAATCATCAAGGGCGAGGTCAACGGAATGCCGTGTAAACTGACCATAGACACTGGAGCCTCTCGTACGGTTGTTAGTTCCCAACTTATAAGTCAGTTCCTTGGGGACTCCGCATACAACCGAGAACGCATTAATTTGGTAACAGCCACCGGTCAGCGTATACCCGTCCGTGGAGAGAAGGAGATGGAGTTGAAGCTAGGCAACGTGATCTACCTGCATAATGTCATCGTGGCTGATATAATGGACGACTGCATCCTAGGCCTAGACTTTATGAGGAATAATTGTTGTGAGATCGACGTTAAGCAAGGTGTTTTGAAATGTGGACAGGAGGAACTTTTTATGGAAGGTGCGTTACCAGGGAACGTGTACAGCATCAAGAAGATTGTTCTTCCGCCGAGATCGGAAACGATTGTTCCGGTTAGTCTTCCACGAAACGCTGGGCAAGCTCACCGTTGTGTACTTGTGGAAAGGGTAAACAATGACCTTCCATGGAAAGTAGCTCGAACCTTGGTCAGGACCACTGACATCTCAGGAGTACGTGTGCTGAACCTTTGCGACCGGGAACAGGTTATAGAAAAAGGTACACTGGTTGGTACTTGTGAGGAAGTGGATTGGTTACGTCAGTGCCAATATATATCGAGTGGGACCCCCAGCAAGGATTCAGAAACGAGAGTGACCACACTTTTGGAAGACTGTCGCAGTGTTCTGTCCCCGAACGAATTGGTGAAGGCGAAGAAGTTGTTACTCGAGTACGCCGATGTATTCTCATCAAACGATGCTGACATAGGAAAGACTGGTTTAGTTCAACACAAAATAAACACAGGTGAAGAGTTGCCTATCCGTCAGCGGCCAAGACGATTGCCGGTAGCACGTGAAAAGGAAGTGGAAACCATGATTGAGGGAATGGTGAGGGATGGTGTTATTGAACCTTCATCTAGTCCATGGTGTTCACCCGTGGTACTGGTAAAGAAGAAGGATGGCAGCATGCGGTTCTGTGTTGATTACCGCCGTCTGAACGACGTTACAAAGAAGGACAGCTATCCCTTGCCAAGAATTGATGACACGCTGGACATGCTTACAGGAGTAAAATGGTTTAGCACGCTGGATCTAAAAAGTGGCTACTGGCAAGTTGAAATTGACCCTAAGGACAAGGAGAAAACTGCGTTCTCGACGGGAAAGGGTCTGTGGCAATTCAAAGTAATGCCGTTTGGGTTGTGCAATGCTCCAGCAACGTTTGAAAGGCTGATGGAACTTGTACTTACCGGGCTAATTGGCGATGCCTGTCTGGTCTACTTGGATGACATCATCATCGTGGGCCGTACGTTTGAGGAACACCTTCAAAACCTGGAACGCGTGCTCATGAAGATTAAGAGTGCCAACCTTAAGTTGAGTCCGAAGAAATGTTCACTATTCAAACGGCAAGTCAACTTTTTGGGGTATGTAGTGTCGGAAGAAGGTATCCGCACGGATCCAGAGAAAATCGCAGCTGTAAAGGATTGGCCGGTTCCAAAAGACAAGACGCAGGTTAGAGCATTTTTGGGTTTGTGCTCCTATTACCGACGTTTTGTGAAGAACTTTGCAGATATAGCCAAACCTCTGCATAAGCTAACCGAGGAGAAGCGACATTTCTGCTGGGATGAAAGTTGTAACATCGCATTCCAGGAGCTCAAGGACCGTCTGTGCAAAACACCTATTTTGGGATACCCTGATGCAAGCAAAGAATTTATAGTTGACACAGACGCAAGTGATATAGGACTTGGCGGTGTGTTGTCTCAACGTAATGGTGACCAAGAGGTCGTGATAGCGTACTTCAGCAAGTCGTTGTCAAAACCGGAAAGGAACTACTGTGTCACAAGACGCGAATTGCTAGCTGTGGTAAAGTCGTTGCAACATTTTAGCAAATATCTTCTGGGACGAAAATTTCACTTACGAAC